AAACTTCATGGCCAGCCTAAAATGGCCATTTCTGACAGAGACAAGACATTCACCAGTCTCTTTTGGAGAGAACTGGTGAAGCAACTAGGTACTAAAACTCTATTTAGTACTGCTTACCATCCAGAGACAGATGGTCAGACAGAAAGGGTGAATCAGTGTGTGGAACAGTATTTGAGGGGTTTATGTTTCTTTCAGCCAAAGCAGTGGGCTAAATGGCTACCACATGCAGAGTGGTGGTATAATACAACCTACCACACTGCCCTAAAGCTTACACCATTTGAGGTATTGTATGGCTACAAGCCTCCTACTATGGTTTGGCAGGAAGATACTACTGTGCAGTCTGTAAGTGAATTAATGAGAAATAGGGAGAATATCAAGCAGTTACTGAAGCTACAACTTGAGTATGCGAGTAACAGAATGAAACAATACACAGACAAGAAAAGAACAGAAAGAGTTTTTGCAGTAGGAGATACTGTTTACCTGAAATTGCAGCCTTATCGTCAAACTTCCTTGGCACTGCGCAAGAATTTAAAGTTAGCCGCGAGATACTACGGGCCTTATAAGATTATTGAGAAGATAGGTGAGGTCGCATACAAGTTAGACTTACCAGTTTCTTCGAGGTTACACCCTGTTTTTCATGTAAGCCTTCTGAAGAAGCACGTAGGGGATTCAACTGTCTCTTCGAAGGATCCTCCTGACATGAACGATGAAGATCATATTAGAATTGAGCCATACAGGATAATGGGTAGACGAATCATCAATCGACAGAACAAACCTGTCACGCAGTTGTTGGTGCGCTGGAAGAATCTGGATGCCACCAGTGATACATGGGAGGACTACACTGTTCTTCGGGGACAGTTCCCTGAATTTGATCCTTGGGGACAAGGATCCTTTCCAGCAGCGGGTATTGTTACAGTTGGAGGATAAGAGCGCGGAAGAAAAGAATGAAGCAGGGAAATAATTGGGGAAAGCAGTGGTCAAGGGTTAGGGATTTCATATGGTGATTTGGGAATCGGGGCGAGAGAGGAGATAGAAATTGGGAAATTAGGGATTAAAGGAAATGAAGAGGTAAAGATGTGTTTTGAAGGGGAGCAGATGGAGCACGTGGGTCAAGAAGGCTTGGATCAGCAGGCAAGTCTAGTCCAGTAGGAGAGAAGGTAGCCCACGTGATGGCCCAATATCTGAGAAGGGAAGATAAAAGCAGTTTGTTATATCTGTTATATAGTACTGCCAGCTGGAGTACTTATTTTACCATTTTAGCCCTGTAACTAAATAAACAACGGCTGAGAGATTGAATTCCTCAAGTATTGAATGAAGCATTTCTTCTGAATCCTCTAAATTATCTAATTCTTCTTCTCAAATCTATCTCTATTTCTATTGACTATAACATAAGGATAGTTTAGTGGGGAATTATTAACGATGGCCATTGTATTCTGTGCCAAGATGGATTCTAAACCAGAGGTAGTGTGAGAGGCTTACTCGAATATGAATGTTCAACTTTGTAAAATTTAATGTATACTTGGCTAGTGCTGATATACTATAGTATTCTTGTAAAGAATTGAATACTGGTCTGTATGTAGCAGTTTATCTGCTTCTTTGGATGACACAAGGCAACGATTTATATATAGACAAAAAAAACACTTTTTCTTTTCTTATATGGCATACGAAATCAAGTCAAATGATGATCCGGTGAGCATTTAACAATAGGTTTATTAGGAAAAAAATATTAACACCATCTTCTTAAAAGATTAAGGGCTCACTCTTCTGACGTCTAAAACACTTTCTTCCTATTTCTTCATTTTCAATCCTATTATTTACTTAGCTTCTCTACATTCATCTATGGCCTTTACTGAAGTCAAGGGCTTCTCTTCATCTAGGGATGGGCATGGGTCGGGTTTTTGGTCCACCCAACCCGACCCGAGAACAAGGAGTCCTCCACCCGAGACTCGACCTGACCTGACCAAAACAAGAAAAAATATTTTTTATTCAATAAAAGCAATGACTTAATTGAAAAGAATAATATATAGAGGGGTATTACTATAATTATTCCTAAATATATAAGGTAAAATTATTTTTTGGGGTCGGGTCGGATATTTTTCACCCTAAACTCAAACCAGACCCGACCCGAACATCACATTAAAAAAACCCAACTTGAACCCAATTTTTAAAAAAAAAAATCCGACCTGATCGAGTCGGAACCCGTCAGGTTCGGGTCCCATACCCGCCCCTATGACTCATCTATGACCTTTGCAAAAGTCAAGGGACACTAAGGTGGCGTTTGGTTCGCAGGAATGTTTCTGAGGGAATTGAAATCGGTGAAGGAATTGGAATCTGAATCTGAAACTTGTTTGGTTGGCAGGAAATTGAATTGGAATCCAATTCCATATTCTGTTTGGTTCGCAGACATATCAGATGAATTTGATTTCAGTAATATAAAATGACAAAATTGCCCTTCTTGTTTTTTTGCTTAATTTTAGTTTGTTTTATAACTTACATTAGCAATATATTATAAAAATTTAAAAAAATATTACATTTTCATTTTATTGATTGATTATTCATTTCAATAAATTATAAAAATCATACTAATAAACATCATAAGTTAAAATCACCCCAATTAGGGATGGTCATGGGTCGGGTTTTTGGTCCACCCGACCTGACCCGAGAACAAGAGAACCTTCACCCGAGACCCAACCCGAATATATGAATTAGAAACCCAACCCGAAATAATAAAAAAAAAAATTTATTCAATAAAAATAGTGACTTAATTGAAAAAAATTATATATAGAAGGGTATTATTATAATTATTCCTAAATATATAAGGTAAAATTATATTTTTTTCGGGTCGGGTATTTTTCACCCTAAACCCGAACCCGACCCAAATATCACACTTAAAAAACTCGATCCGACCCGATCCTGAATTTTTTTTAAAAAAAATCCGACCCGAATACCAAAAGATTAATGAGGGTAGTATGGTCAAATTTCACATTCCCTCATCCAAAGGATTTCAATTCCATCATGTTATTGATGGAATATACTTTCTCTCCTTTGATAGAATTTACTTTCTCTCTCTTGATGGAATTGGATTCTAATTCCCCTTTAAAAACTTGAACCAAACATGAGAAAGCAGTGGAATTAGATTCCAATTCCCCCTAATTTCAAGAGATTCCAGCGAAGCGAACCAAATGCCACATAACATTATTTCCTCACGTTGAATGTATAGAGAAAGTGGATCTAGCCACCTCCATTTCTATATTCCCTCCCACAAAGTATCTTATTACGTTATTCAAACTTCATTTTTCTTAAAGTATTTAGGTGGTGTTTGTTTTTGCAGAGGTAAAAGGTCTGCAGTCTGCGGACCACATCTGCAGAAATCTGCAGCAGAAGAGGTGGACCAAAAGTCTGCAGTCTTCAAGAAGAAGACTATTTGTTTTTTAACGTCTGCAGACTGTTAAAATGAACTGAAATATAAATAAACTGACTTTTTAAACTTAAAAGAATTTTGCAATACTGAGATTTAAATAATTTTAGTTTTACAATACTGAAATTTAAATAATCCATACAACTACAATAATAAATTATTGTAAATAAATCAATCCATATTTTAAAATAAATCAATCTATACTAATAAATTATTTAAAATAAATAAATCCATACAACTACAATAATAAATCAATCCATATTTTAAAATAAATCAATCCATACTAATAAATTATTTAAAATAAATCAATCCATACAACTACAATAATAAATCAATCCATATTTTAAAATAAATTATTTAATATAAATCAATATATACTAATAAATTATTTAAAATAAATCAATCCATATTTTAAAATAAATCAATTCATATTTTAAAATAAATCAATTCATACTAATAAATTATTTAAAATAAATCAATCCATATTTTAAAATAAATCAATCCATACTAATAAATTATTTAAAATAAATCAATCCATACAACTACAATAATAAATCAATCCATATTTTAAAATAAATCAATCCATACTAATAAATTATTTAAAATAAATCAATCCATATTTTAAAATAAATCAATTCATACTAATAAATTATTTAAAATAAATCAATTCATATTTTAAAATAAATCAATTCATACTAATAAATTATTTAAAATAAATTATTTTAAAATAAATCAATCCATATTTTATAATAATTTATTTTAAAGTAAATTATTTTATAATAAATTATTTTAAAATAAATAACCTTATTAAACTATTTAAAATTATTTTAATAAATAACTATATTTTATAATTGTTCTTAAAGAGGTTTGAAGACATTTGAATACATAAAACTAAGTCAGCACCAAGAAGAGCTCGCGCAGACGTTTGAAGAGCTTCTGTCTTCTAAAAAACAAACAGTCTGCGAAGCCTAATGTCTGCGCGTGGTCTGCGCGACGCATACATAAGTGGTTTGAAGAGCTTGCACAGTGAAAACAAACACCACCTTAGTCTCTTCATTTTTTGAAGTATTGTACTAAATATTCGTCTATACAGTGTAACACACAACTGTATTTTACAATCATTTCCGAAATCTGTTTTTTTTCTCATCAGACCCTTCTTCCTTTATATTGTTTTCTTTGTGGTTCTGTTTTTGCCACCTTAACTAACAAGATGAAGTGATGAACATGCATTAAATTTCCCTCAAGTGAACATAATCATGGGACTATTATCTCAATGTCAAATTTGGTGCAAAGAATGAGTAGCATTTTTGTTTTTTCATCAAACGGTACCTTTCTTTTCACAAAGCAACAAGATTTGAAGATTACATCAACTTATCAACCTATCACTTTGATTATTTTGGAATTTGGATCCATATTAGTGGCTGACATCAGATGCATAAGGTAGCTATCACAAATGAGCATGCGCGCATTACAACAAGGAACTATTGCTACATCATCATATAATAATGCCAAGAAAAAAGACAATCAAGAGAATCTTGACAATGGCAAAGTATAGTTTTTAGTATAAATATGAGACGTTCACACCCTCAAGGTCACCATGAACCAGCAGCATTTCCAGGAAGAATCAGAGAAAATGGAGCGCGAGGAAATCCGAAAGGGACCGTGGACGGAGAATGAGGACATGATTCTGATCAAATTCGTTCACTTGTTCGGAGATCGGCGATGGGATTTTATAGTCAAAGTTTCAGGTTTGAAGGTTTGGCGGGAGACAACCAATAGGTAGGATTATCTCGAAGATTGGAAGGTCTTGGAATGAACCCTGGTTTAACAAAATGATTTTGTTGTAGGTTTGAACCGAACCGGAAAGAGTTGCAGGTTACGTTGGGTTAATTACCTTCACCCTGGTCTCAAAAGAGGTAAGATGACACCCCAAGAAGAGCGCCTTGTCCTTGAACTTCATGCCAAATGGGGAAACAGGTTCCACAGTATTCAGTAACATTATACAAATTTGTATTCTGTTCCATTGGTTTGATGAACTTGATTTCACCAGGTACGTAAACATGATAATATGATATGCAGGTGGTCGAGAATTGCTCAGAAATTACCGGGGCGTACCGACAACGAGATCAAGAACTATTGGAGAACTCACATGAGAAAAAAGGATCAAGAAAAGAAAAAGGCCTTGTCACAATCATTGTCACCGTCATCTTCATCTTCTTCCAACAGTCATTCGTCGTCATTATCGAGCACCGGAAAGGTAAGTTTCTACGACACCGGAGGGCCAGACGTGGCAGAATTCGAAGACGAAAAGGGGTATTCCATGGATGACATATGGAAGGATATTGATATGTCTGAAGAACATATGATAAAGCCTTCGACTCATAACTATAACGACTATTGCTTGGATTCACTGTGGAAGATGGATGAAGAAGAGAGTAAGATGTTCTTCCCTTCCAATCAATCAATCTCTTGCTTTGAACATGGGACATCATATTTAACAGGCTAGTTAGAATTCATTTATTTATTCATAACATGTAACAATCACTTGTCTCCTGGGGAAACTCTTTAACAGCTGCGTGTTTTCATATCTCACCATGCTGCATATCACTGTAATCATCTCATGCTCTAGTCTTCACCAAGGCCATTTAAATTATGATTTCGATGGCGGATGTAATGAGTACTGTTACATATATAAAATTGCAAAATAGTGGGACTATTTTAAACTTGTTTGAGGATCTTCTAAACACAACAATTTCACAGCAACTAAACAAATCAGCTATTGAATTCAACCAATTAATGAAACCCCATCACTCTATATGCTAAAATTATAATTTCCTTCAAAATTCATCTTCGAATGAACGGAAGACTTAATCTTCCATGAAAAAGCTTCTCTTTTCTTCTCATTTTCACCATGATTTTAATATATCGAAAATAATTTATTTTTAAAAAAAAGTTTCCCCCCCGTAAAACTATAGTATTTTTTATTGGGTAAAGGAAGAAAATATAATGGCCAAAATGATATTGAACAAGTAGGAAAATGACATGCATGAATTTTACCAATCATTACAATAGTTACTACTACTTGGCGCTAAACTGAGCTGAATCTTTATGATAAATGACTTTTTTTAATTAAAAAGAAAAAAAAAGTGGAATAAATTCATTGAAAATCACCCCATTGTCTCACTACTTGGATTCCACTTCTCAAATCCTTCTGCATCTTCCCCAGGTTTTCAAAATTATTACGATGAGTTGGAAGCATATTATACGACTTTCTTTCTTTAAAATATTAAATCTAGGGTAAACCACTTAATTATTAAATCATGCTTTTGATCATCCTATAAAATATATGAATTCCATCACTCAACTTTCTTTACATTCTTTTTTTTGGGTGACTAAAACTTAAAACTTTTCAATTTACTCACTCAACTTTTGTTTAATCCTATTTTGTTCACTCCATCATTAGATACTTAACATATCAGCATTATGAATGGAAAATTTTCTTTTAAAAAATATGAAATGGCCTACTAACTTCATTTTTTGTGAAAGAAACGGTTTTAAATTCCTTTGAACTTCTCGATGATGAACCATCTTCTTCCAAATCTCAATAGTAAGGAGGTGGAGGAGGAGGGAGTGAGCTGTACATCTCAATTCCACGTTGATCGAATGGTAGATATTATATATTTGAATGGTTTGGGGTTTCATGAATTTTAGATTTGGGGTTGAGTTTCGTGAATTTTAAAGTGATTTTGGGGAAAATATAAATTGATAGAGTGGTAGGAGACCATGAAGAGAGTTCATATGTATCTTAAGTGGTCGGAGGAGATGTTTGAGAATGGTAATTATAACGCGAGCGTGTTACATGTATGAAACTATAAAATTTTCATCTATGAATAAAGAATATAAGACAGAAAAAGGGGGTAAAATTACGTGGATGACACATGAATTTCTTGTTAATAAAAAGTAATCCGCATCAACACACTTGTTGCCATGTCACTATTCCATTTATGATTTAACATCCGAATAACCAAAATAAGAGTAAATCAAAAGTCTAATGAGTAAATTAAGACTTCATAAATTTTAATAACCAAAATAGGAATGGGAAGAAAGTTAAATGATAAAATTTATAATTTACCCTCAAGTAATATTTTTGAATAAAAAAGTAAAATAAACATATTTTGATATAATTTAATCTAATATGATATTATTAACTATTAAATTTAAAACAAGATTAATTTTACAAATGATTGGATTCGGGTGTGGTCAAATCTTCTACATATGAAGGCAGTAGACCATCTAAAACAACTAAATGTATTTTCAGTGTTGGCTGATCAAATGCATTGCACGAATTTTTAAAGTTTGTCGAACCTAATACAGTTTTTGTGATTATAATGATCATATTAAAAGCATTTTTGGATATAAAATCACTTAAATTGGGCAGAAGTGGACAAATGATAAATGAACACGTTAAAGTGGAATTAACCATTAACAAAGAGAGAGATACGAACAACAGGGAATAAAAAGCACCCACATATATGAAACCAAAGTGACCCACCAAACTGCTTACAACCCTTGTTAATGGATCACATAGAACCCATCAAAACACCAGGGATCTTAAAATTCTGAACTGGGAAGCTGCTCGTGTGTGTCCGGGGCGATGAAGAAGACTTCATAGACGATGGCTGCAATGGCGGCACCGACGAAAGGACCGAGCCAGTACACCCAGTGGTTGTTCCATGTCCAGCTGACCACGGCTGGTCCAAAGGAGACTGCAGGGTTCATGGATGCACCATCAAAGGCACCACCAGCCAAGATGTTGGCACCCACAATGAAACCAATTGCAATGGGTGCAATGATCCCAATGTTACCCTTCTTCGGGTCGACAGCCGTGGCATAAACTGTGTAAACCAAACCGAAGGTCATCACGATCTCAAAAACCACCGCGTTCCAAGCTCCCACACCGGATGACAAGGCAAATGCAGATGTTTCCTGCACCATACAAAAATAAATAAATTCAGAACATATATTAGTTAAGCCTTGACTAAACTTGCTTTAGCTTTTCTATCTTACCAATCCACCTGTTGAAAACTTGAGAAGCAAGCAAGCGACCACGGATCCGAGCAATTGAGCAATCCAGTACAAAATACTTCGGATCAAGGTAATGTGGCCACCGACAAAGGCGCCAAATGTTACGGCGGGGTTTACGTGGCCACCGGAGATGTTAGCACCAACTGAAACTGCCACAAACAGAGCGAAAGCATGGGCAATTGATGCAGATATAAGACCGGCCGGCGTTGCGGCCCCGTTGTCAGTGAGCTTGTCTGCCAAAGAAGCGTACACGGTTCGATTAGTTCATAGAAAAACAAGGGGAATTACTACAACGTTAACAGATACGCTTTAGGACATGAGAAAGAAAGATATATACGTACTAAAAGCCATGCCCGATCCCGAACCGGCAAAAACAAAAATGAGCATTGAAATAAACTCAGCCAAAGCTGCTTTGAGAGCATCGGCTTGGCCAGCCTCAGCTGGAGATCCTACTGCAATTCGAGAAATCGGCATTTTGAATGTTCTTCTATAGGAAAAATAGTTATTTTTCTTTTTCTCTTGTTTCCTTCATCTTCTTCACTGGTACATATATATAGGGGTCCAATACTCCAGTAGAACTACGGACCATTAAAATAAGCAAAATTTTCAAGAAAGAAAAATTGAAAAATAAATATATAAGCAACCTTTTTTTTTTCTTTCTGGCGGCCACCTATCATTGTCGGCGGGAAATATTGAAGGCGAGGGTCTTTGAATCGCTACTCTTACGCCACGTGTACGGGTGGAGTGAATATGGATGGCCGATCGGAGGGTGGACAAATTTGAACACCGGCCAAAAGGGGTGGCAATGGGTCCCAGTGCCCTATGAGTTGTGGTTGTGCTTTTGGCTTGACCGACCATCTGGATTGTTTATATTGTGATGACGTGGACGGTGGTGGTTAGCTTTGCTGGCTCCATTATCTTAATTAATTTCTGATTTATGCTTAGTTGTTTTTTGTTATTGGATTAGCGGTGATAATGACGTCAGGTATAGCAATGGAGTGAGTGTAGTGAATTCTGCCTACCGTCTGATTTTGGTCATACTGTGGATCCATTAAATTTGTTTCATACTCATATCATATAATTTCCCTCGTATGAATTTATTTTTCTTTTGTACGTTGATTTTGGCCATGCATTGTTCTTCCACTTTCATAAGCTGGGATATCTACATATAACCTGCAACCATTCTCGGCTCGAATGGATAAAACCATTAATGATGGTTTGATGAAGAAGAAGAAGATCTATTTACTTGGAAAGAAGAAGAAACTAGTGACCTCAATAACTAAGCATTAACATCGCTCTTTTAAATGGGAAATTATGTCATTTTTTTGCTTATATGCTGTCTATTTCAGTGATTTTTCATTTTTTTTTTGGATATTCAGATAATTTTAAATCAAATTTTTTTTATTTATATTCGATTCGGTTATCTAATTTTTAATCAAATATCTAATTTGAATTATCTAAAAAATTATCGAATCAAATTATTTAGATATGATATTTTTACACATACCTAGATAGAAGGTGGTATCCTTTAAGGGCTAAAAAATGAGAAACAAATATTACATAATCCTCGAGCCCAAAGTAGGATAAAAGGAGCTCTAAAACAAAGAAAGCCCAAGCATGGTTGGGAGAGGGAGCTATGACCCTGTGGAAATTTCAGTCATCGTTTTACATTGCATTTACAACTGCGTAGGCATTGTTACAGTTTGCATGATGCAAATCGATGATTAAAGGAATTTTCAATTCGTATATGAAGCTGTTTCCTTCTCTTTGGAAAATGGTACATTAACAATATTATATCAAGTAAATCCCTTCTTTTACGGTCCGTAGCAAATGGGGGAAAGAAAAAGGAAGTCCTTCAAATTAAAATCTAATATTTTTAAAATTTTGATAAATTCCATTAATGAAAATCCGAATCCATCGATTGGGCACTTTCAACCTGGAAAAGACGATTACAAAATTCTAGTTTTAGATATTTATGGGTTGGGTTCAGTGCCTGACTTGCTCGTCTAAATTGTCCAACTCAATTTGTTGTCAGCACGAAGGACCTAGCCCATTTTGGATTACAAAAGGAGCACGAAGCACGGTCTACACGCCAATTGTCGTGCAAGCACCGGCACACATGGTGTGCGTGGTTTCGTCTCCGCACGGCGACTCTGGTTTTGTCCCTTGTGGAGTCCCAGATGGAAGCACATGACTCATATCTAACCGCCATGTGCGGAAGTGCATAAAATGACAATGGCTACCACAATACTTCCAAAATCCCCCACTTTCTTTTATTTGGAAAATCACACCTTACTTCCTTTATTTCCTTTTTCAATATCATTTCATTTATGCTTAATCAAAAAATAATAATTAAATAATTAGATTGGTTCAAGTGATATGTAATAATTAGACCAGACGTTGGTCTTGATTTTATTGGACTGTTTCTTAATCTGAATTTTTATTTCAACTTCTATAATTAATTAATGACATAACAAGCCTTATAATTTATTTAGTAGGTCACTATTACCCACTTATAGACTAGTTTTCAACAATTAGAATTATGAAAAACTACTTTTTTATCATTGAAATTTATAATCCAACATCGTATTAAAAATTCATTTGACTTTTATAAAATAAACAAACATAGGTTTAATTTGAATAAACAAGACATAAATATCAATATTAATATCCGAAGGCTCTTGATTGAGTTAAAAATTCATAAGTGGACTATCAATTAATACTCCATAGATATAAGACCAGAAGAAATTTGGTGGTAGAGAGTTGAGTTTTTGTTACTTGTTCAACTTAATCAAGTTTTGTTTTTTTATGTTAAAAAAGATCAGGGGTCAACTCATTATTATAACCCCGTAGACTTGTAAATTTATATAAAATACGGTAAGGTACAAAAATAATACTATCGATATTAGATAAATAGATGTATGGTTTAACATTTCATATTGTTGTAAAAGTTGAGACATTTAACAACTTATTAGCATGCATAATGAAGTTAAACAGTTGAAGAAAAAAACTTAATAGTTTGTATTTTATTCGGCATAAAATTGACAACTTTGACGTTCATGTATTATAATTGCCAAGCGACAATAGCACTGGTAAGAAACAAAACTTTTAATGCCAATAAGTGTTGGTAAAGAGATTGAAATTCATGAATTTGAGCTTGTAAGATCAAGTTCGAATCCTACCACTATTTCTTTTGGTGAAAAGTTTGTAAATTCTCATAGTCTTAGATATGCCTTAGTCATCGACTGGGGAACACCATTGACTTAAACTTTTTACTCAACCAAAAAAAACTTTTAATAATAAAAAACATATATATTTAAGATGTGACATTATAAAGCAGTTGCAAAGAAATTGAGTAGTATAAATTGATTACATAAAATTAAAAACAATATTTTTATTCCTCTTACTAATTTCTTTAGACAAAATTAATAAGTGAAATATAAAAGAGAATGAGACTTATGCCAATATAGAAAAATAAAAAAATGATGATAATTCAATCTCTGTGATTGAAAATCCCATGAATAAATTCATATGGGTAATAATAAATCTTTGATTGTTCTGGTGAGCACTATAAATTATACTTGTTTATCCTATGATGCAAATAATGTTAAATCTACAAGGATGATGAAGATGAGTAAAACTATTAATCAAGTGCATATACTTTGTAAAATATATTTGATGAATTGACCTTATATAAGTGTGAATTGAGACAATTGTTATAAGTTTCGCGATAATATGTCTAGAGCAACTATGAAAAATCAAAAACATGCATGACCAAAATGCACACATCACGTTAAGCAACAGTAACAAGGTGTAGTGTGATTGGTGAAATCTATAATTTAAAGAATTATCGGTTGACATAGCATAACCAAGCTAGCGTGGAATCTCTCTTTTGGTGTCCAAACTTTTTATCAGCCGCTTGTTGAGATTTTTTTTATTAAGCTAAAGGTGATTACAAAGTATTATTTGTTCTAAGTATTCTCAACCATTTAACAATGAATGTCCAATCACTTTTATAGTCGTTGGTGTTCAAACCCATAACCTCTAGAAACAACAATAATTTATTTTAACCACTGAAGTAAGTAGATCGTGCTTGTTGAGATTTCTATTATTATGCATAGGAATGTTTTGACGTGGCTAGCGCAAGGACGATTTGATGGGCTCCTTTTTTTGTTTTGGTTTCTCTTCTTTATTCAAAAAGAAAATTATTGGTTCTTAAAAACATGATCCATCAATTATTTTATAAATTATATTGCATTCTTTCCAATTTTGATTCATAATTCAGAAAAAATAAAACACAGGAGTTGATATATTATATATAAACTAAAAATATTTAGTAAAATTTTATCCATGATTCTTTTATTATATAAAAAAGGCATAACATTTTAAACTTTAGAAGTTGTTTTTAACTTACTTCATATTAAAAAAAAACTTAAACTAATTTTTAGAAGAAAATATGTACATTGATTTTCTCAACTATTATTTTTGCTATTTTTATCTAACACTACCCTTATAAATATCAAACATTTTTTATTCTAAACACACCAAAATTGAGAATTTTCCATCTGCTACTTGATATCTTTACCGTTCTTGAGTTTATTGAGTATTAATGTAGAGAATTATTGTTGATTCATGAGTCTCAATTTTATATCGAAAAGAATAATTTGTTGAATTCTGAAAAATATATTATATGATGAAATATTTTTTGATGATATTATTTTGTGCACATCTCAAACTAATTATCTCTTATCTCGATTCAATATAATATTTTTAATATATATATAATCTGAATTACTATTAAAAATTATATATTTTTAAAAAATTGTAAATACAATTATGACATATTAAAATAAAAGAAATTATCAAATTTAATGTAAAGCGTCCAACCTATAAAAGCGAAAGATTGACAAAAATGAATTTAACAAAATCTATCGTGCACTCTAACAAGTCACCAGGTTCATTGTATTAAGGAAACCTAAATTATTTTTAATTTTTTTAGTTTGATTATACATCTTTGTCAAGCATATTTTAAAATTCAGCTGCTTTTGTCAGCTTCTTAAACAAAGAAAAAAAGTAAGAAGAGGAAAAGCCAAATGTGAAACCATAATATTATAAAGAATTACAAATTAAAAAAAACAATAATTAATTTAAGGAAAGCTCTGTATTATTGTTAGCATTACCCATATGGACACAATTTCAAGTGAGATTAACAGCTGGATTAAGGAATAATGAGATGACTAATGAAGGATAAGAGGATGATCATTGGTCAATTAAGAAATATTTTATAGGGTAAACACATATATATTAATAACATATATATTTTTTGTATAGAGTGGACACAAATAAAATTTCAAAATAGATATAATCAATAAAATAATTAAATAATCAAAGAAAATTTAAATTTCAGGATGTCATGATGCTTGGGGTATGATAGTTTTTGTCCTACAAAGAGCCATTATATATTAAAAAAAACATTATAAGACATGTGGAGCAGTGCCGAAATCTATTGTCGGGGATGAGGTTTTTTCTAAAGAAAAAAAGACTATCCATGTTCTTTTGTTCTGTCAGAACGAGGTTTGTTTTGAGGTTGGTTTTGTTGTTTAAATTAAAGGGGACGCGATGCATGCATGTTTACCAACTTTTAGGGTTTTTATTTGCATTGATTTTTGTTTGGACATCAGGATTTGTGCCGTGTGGCAATCCAACTCAATATTAATTGCATTTTTATTCCCACAGCAAAAATTTGGTTGGGTCTCTTTTATTGTGGATAATTAACAACGAAAATATTACATTAAATATAAAAAATACAATTTTATTTATTACGTGGGTTGATGAAAAAAAATTGTAAGCGTAATCAACATCCCTATCGTGTAATATTATTAGTAGGGTCCAACTTAAAACATTATTAGTAAGTTTAAGTATTCAACTGATATATATATTTATTGTTGGTTAACCATAATTTGCTAGATGTTCACGTTGCCCTGCTTGTGGGACCATATTAAAGTAAAAAGAAATTTCACATGATCAATTCAACAGCAGTAATCAATCGTCTAATTAATTCAGATTTACTAATAATATTATACAAGTAAAGATGCTAAATTACAATAAAATGATTGGTATGAACTAAGCGAGTCTTGAGTGCACCATGAATATAGGGATATTAGCGTTCAATATCAAATGGTTGAGAGTCATCTTTAAACATATACTACACTCTATTTATATCGTATTAAAAAAAGTAAAATGATTAAATCCCAAATTTCACATGGTTGAGGGACTACAATCATAATTAAACATGGAAAGAAGAAAACATGAGTTTTTCTTCTTACAGAAATGATAAGCATGACGGGTTATTGTTACAGATGATAATCTAAAACACGTAAGAAGTTGTTTTGTTCTAAAATTAAGGATAATGTTAAGGGGTCAAATAATGATCCATAATGCAAATGTTTTGAATTTTCCATTTTTCCCACGATTTAAGCTAAAAGTTATGTAACCTACTCCATTCCCTTTTTGGTAGAGTTTTCTATTCGATATTTATTTTAGTTTATATTTATATATATTCTTATTATTAATCTAATTATACTGTAATATTAATTTATTATTATTTTACATATATATATATTGCTTTTTTTTCAACAGAAGGAATCCAAACGCAGACACGAACTGAAAACCTTGATTGAAGTATTGTCACTTGTACATATATATTATATTGGCAGAGTGCTGACAAAAACTATGAAAATCCAGGTGGGAATAGGTATGGCTAGAGGGAGCTTGACATGGACCCTTTATAAGCAGATGAATAGAATGAGTGAAATAATTAAATGATTGGGCAGTTCATAATGCAATCTAGGACAGCCCTGTGTTGATAATATAAACAATTTGGGAACCATATTCTCCGTCTTCATTATACAAGAGAAAAAAAGAAGAAAAATAATTGTTTAAAAGTGAAAAATGGAAACAACATTATGAGATACACAATTCAAAGACTAATTTGATTTCAAGTTACCAAATATGGGATTCAATTTGTGTATTAAGGGTAAGAATTTAAAAGCAGTAAAATAAGGTTGACCATGAAAATCAAGTTTAAATCTTACTGGGTTTTCAGAGCGACGACGAAAAAAAGAAAGTAAATGTAAATAAAGAAAAATAGATGGAATTTTGGTTAATTGTTTAATGCGAGAATATTAAAAAGGGAATCTTTTTATGTACTCGCATTTTCTAATTGGAAAGTTTAGAGCTTTCCTTTGATGTGGACCTGTTGTCTTCTTCCTCCGGAAGAGAGACAATATGAACAGCCCATGTCATACTTTTTGTCTTTACTTGCCTTTGATTGCTCTATAAATCACTCACCCAAGACCTTTTCTTAACTCCCTCTCTCTCTTTCTCAGCATTTTTCATAATTTTTTCCCTTTGCATTCATGGCACTTCTACGATAGTACATTAAAAATGGAAGAATTGTGTTCTTTATGGAATTATCAAGAGGTGGGCCTTTTCTTTTTCTTTTTCCTATCCATTTCTGTTCCGTCTCGTTTCCTTCTGTTTTCTGGTTATTTTTACACCAAAGTTAATGGTTTTCAATTTTCATGTTTTGACAGAATTTTGATGAACTGAAACTGAAGCTTCAATACAGTGCAATCGAGCTAGAATCTGTGAAAATGGAAGCCGATGAGCAAATAAGGAAATACAAGGAGGAGCTAAAACTTATGCTCAATCTCCTGAACGTCGCTTACCAAGAAAGAGACGAAGCAAGAGAGCAGTTGCAGAAGCTACTCAACAAGTTAATCCCTTATGAAACTCCGTTTATGATTGCAGCAAAAACAAACTCCAGCATAACCGAATCAAACAGTTTATCAGACACGTATAATAAGCACCACTCCCACGGTTCTTCCCCTGTTGATTCCTTGTTCGATGCCGTCACTTCACCAGATTTCCCCACCATTAAAATGACCGATTCATGTGGAATGGGGCTTTTGAATCAACCCTTTGCGACCGGTTTATTCCCATCAAAGTTGATGACCAAGGTTGTTGATGTTGAAGCCACTGTGATCGATAACCTTGCAAAGGAGAGAACTCTGCCTGAAAAAGGGAAGCTTTTACAAGCTGTAATGGAAGTTGGCCCTCTTCTTTCGACCCTGCTTGTTGCCGGTCCTCTTCCTCAATGGAGAAACCCTCCTTCGTACACTTTCAAAATTCCCCAAGTTTCCATCAAGGGATGTGATTCTAAAATCCATAACCAAAAATCAGTGGCCAACCCGAATAACCGTGTTGTCCAAAAACGAGTGAACTCGTCATTGTATCAAGAAATGTCTCTTGGGACTCATCAAATGTGTTCATCGGCCATGTTGGGTTTTACAAGTTGTTGTTCTGCTTCATGGCCGAGTCAGTCACCCTTGAGTTCAGATGCTGGTCTTAACACTCGAATCACATTAACAAAGCGGCAAAGGTTTTAATGAGTTTATCAGAAGCTTTGGCTTCATTTTTGTAAAGATTAAAAATTTGAGGTCGGGATCGTGTAAAATCGATACTTTTTTTAGGGGTTTGAATTGAATGGGATGATATATCATAACACTTTCTTTCTGTAATATTCGTTTTATATATATACTTTATTTTCTTCCTAGTCATCAACGCTTATGAATCCAATTCAACTTTTAAATTGACTTGACACAAAACTTACCACTGATAGCCATAGGTCGAAACAGGTTCATCTTCTTTCCTGTAACCTCTACTTCTTGAACCTTAATCAGCATTGAATATTAACCGGTTACAGAACTATATCTGTGGACGTAATATTGCGAATTAAAGTAAAAAGACAGATGAACGAATCATAAACAAAATGAAAAACTGGTTATTAATTTGAATAATGAAGCTTAACGAGTAAAATTGAAGAAGAGAAGTGGTGATCGAAAAGGAAGGTCTTGTATACGGAAGGAGGCTGAAGTCGCCAATTGTTAGGCAGAGTGATGTGGACGCCATTCATTCAGACCTGAATTGCAGCAAACAGGGGGCAACTTTCCACCTTGCTCCTCCACGCCTCTTTAAACTTCACCCTGTAATGATAGCGACATAAAAGTATCATCCATGACCGTACGACCTACTATATCTTCAAATAATTTCCTTTCAGAATTGAGCCTTCTATGTTTTACTCTTTTGATCTTCATTTCTATAGTTTTTGTGAGGAATAACTGATAAAGGTTGTACGTATCCAAATTTTGATTGGTTTGGTATCTAAAATAATAGACTTATCCGAGTTTGTCGACTTTTGTTTAAGCACTTTTCACCGATTTCCACGTGATTTTAGAGTGTGATTAGATCAATTTTGAATTTAAAATGGGACCACAATTAACAAGTCATTAAAAGAGATCATTCAACTAATAATAGCTAGAACTCAAACATTGAACCATTTTAAACACTTCTGAAAACAAGTAAATAAAAAATCACAGAAGATATAAGTGGCGGTAAACAAAGATGACAACTGTAAAAGCTAAAATCAAATATTCCTGCTTAGTCTCAAAAGTATCCGTCTATCTTTGCAACAAAATGAAAAACAATAAACCCTTCAAAACAAGCTAGTCACCAACTGCTTAGATGATCCCAATTTTGTTTGCCACATCCAAGGCGTCGTAATCAGGAGTCAACCTCACGTATGCCTTCTTTGTGCCATCAGGCCTGAATCATGAGAACCATGCACATCAAAACAATGCCCATAATATCATTGTGTAAGCATCACATGAAAGGGTGGCAAATAGATAAGGAAGATTAATGAATGGATCTTCAAGAAACTCAATTGAAGAATAAAATCACAGGAAACTATATATGGCATATACTGTTACTGATAATTCAATGCACTGTTTATTCTCAGTTCCCCACATGTAGCCTTCTAATATCATATATAAGTTTGGACAAATGAATGCTAAGTAATATACTGGTCTACAAACTTATACAGAAATAATTATACTGAGTTATAAAATAAAAGCTACCAGAAATATGAACTAGCTCAAGGACAGAGAAATAGTTAACAAGCATAAATAATGTTTTTTTACCTGATCAAAGTGTTAACTTTCTTGGCCTGAATATCATACATCTTCTTCACAGCATCCTTTATCTTCTTCTTGTCTGCACGGATGTCAACAATGAACACCAAAGTGTTGTTGTCCTCAATCTTCTTCATTGCAGACTCAGTTGTAAGGGGAAACTTGAGAATCTGATAATGATCAAGCTTGTTCCTTGGTGGAGCACTAATGCGTGGATATTTGGGGTTCCTATCTTTCTTCAAGGTCCTTGGCCTGTGAAAAGTAACCTTTGTTCGGATCTTCTTGGCCTTCTTAAAAGTGGGTCCAGATTTCACTGCTTTTGCAGCTTTCAAGGCCTGTGCCTTTGGATCCGCCTTCTTCTCAACTGCATGGTATACAACAATTCAGATAATTAATGAAAATCTATAAATACAATTATCAGGGTACATTGTATTCTAGAAGAAACCTAAGCAATGGATCTCCAGTACCATTGCAAAAAACAATATCCTACAAATATTGCTTAAATTATATAATAAAAAACCGTACCCATTGACATTCAACCTATATAACACCTAATTCAAGATTATATTTTGCTTCAGAGGCATCAATAAAAGCAAAATTGAATACGAGAAAACCCCTACACCAGAATCTAAATTTCCAAATCTATGAAATCAAAAGTCGTGTTAATGAACACAAGTATTTGATAAATTATTTTCCCATATAAATCCAACATGAGAATACCGTGAAGGAGAAATCAAAATCAGACCTCACAGTAGCAGACAGTTTACAAAAAATAGCAATAAAAGAACAACAATCTCTAAACAGAACAAATAAATTCTAGCGGATACTATAAATGCCATGATAAGAATAAGTTCTAATTCTAGCAGAAATTTAAGCGATGTGTCCCTAGTACCATTGGGAAAACACTTTATCCTAAATACCACTTAAAATAAATTCTAAATAACCGTCTCAGTTGACATATTCAGATTTCAGAGGGCTCGGTGAAATGCAAAAAATAAACCATAATAACCAAATGATCATTCAATATATAACCAAGCCAAGGTGATATATTTAGCTTGAGAGACATCACTAAGTTCATATCGGTTCAAATGAAAACGGTTAACCTATTAAGGGAGAAATCAAAATTTCCCAGAGCAATGAAACGAAAACTCATGCTATGGGAAAAGCAAGTTATTTAGCAATATTCTATACCCATATAAATCCACCACGAGAAGGAAGGTAAAGGATAATAAATCAAATCAGAATTAACAATAGCAGAAAGCTCATAAAAATAAATACAACAACAGCCACCACTAAACAGCACAAACTAAAGTAATTTGAAGCTCATTTCCATTATTTATAAAGTAAAACGGTAAAGAAGATAGCAGATATTCTCATCGCAGCAATCAACAAACAAACAGAGAATAAGTAAACGAATCAAAACTAGAACAAGCATTACCAATACAAAAAGAAAAAGGAGTGAGAGCAAAGAAATATTAAGTCATATTCAAATCCAAATACCTTTGGGAGCCATTGTTTACTGCTGCCTCAACCCCTTAGAAACCCTAAATCAGTAAAATAAAAACACAAAACAAATGAGCTCGAAATCAATTTAAAAAAAATCGAAATAAATGAAAAGGTGGAGGAGGAAAGGGGGACCTATAGATAGGAAGCGAGCTGCACTAGGTTTTGCTGGAGGAGATGAAGAGGTAATTAGGGTTTATATAAAGGAGCTTCTAAATCACGTAAGACCCAATGGGCTATGATTATCAGGCCAACAAATCCGAAAGTCCACAATGAACAAGCCCTGGTTCGATTTATGATTTGATTTTTTTATATGGCTTCAATGAATGGGTTTCTATAAAATATTAGCATAAACTACAAGAATGAGCACTTGTTTCAGTTTGGTTCGCTTTCAATTAGTAGTTTCAAAGTTCATGTCTTATGGTTTATGGTTTAAATAGAGAATAGTAATTAACGACTTTCGTGTAAAAGATAAAGAATGGAGAGCTCAAGAATATGACAATAAAGTGCTTGGAAAGAAGAAAAAAAGAGAGTCATCATACATGTTGATTTATATGCCGACTCTTAGTAGGTATGTTTAATGTCACATCAAAATATGTAATTGTTTGACGGACATAATTTTGGAGGTTTCAAAGAACTTTGGAGAATATAGATCTTTGGCTTTGTGAGATTCTGAAGATCTCGATGCTTGATTGATGAAGGAATAACAATAAGAGTGTGGGATTCGAAAGAGATACAATTAACATATTATTTTTCAAATATTAGGTGAATATAAGAAAATTCACTGAAAAATATATAAATATTTGAAGCGGTTTAGATTTAACAATCAAAATTGATCAAAACTTTAATTAATTTAAATTTTTAATAAAAAAATTTTGTTGGATAAAAAAAGTAAGGGTTGAATTGATTTTTTCTTTCTTTCAAAAGTTCAGATCCTTTTTACGCCGTAAGCCTTATTTTTATTATTATTTTCTTTATGTCTTTCGTTCATTTTCAAGCACATTTTAGCAACTTTTATATGCAAATGCAGCTATTTTTGTCCAAATTGCTGAATGTTTCTTTAATTTCTTTTCATAATATTCTGAAAAAACACCCTGAAAATCCCATGCTGAACATGATAAACAAACACTTAAAAGAACATTAATTTCAAATGTTATCAATAGCCAAGTTGTTCAAATGATGTATAAGCGTAACATTAAAAAGGAAAAAAGAAAGATTGCTGTATCCATTGGCTTTGAAATTTTGGTGTCTATAATCATATGTTTGAAGTGAAAAATTATTCTGGGTTTGGTTCCTCATCCGATGATTCTTTCTTGTTTATAGATGGTTTGATGAAACCAGCCAATGGTCCTTGTAGATCCGAGCCATAAATATGACCCATCTTGGTTCGTTTTGTTTCCAAGTACCTCTTGTTTTCCTCTGTAACGGCTGTCAAAACTGGGACTCTTCCGATAACAGCCAAGCCGTAACCCTTCAGACCTGTGAACTTGGCTGGGTTGTTGGTCATCAACCGCATCGTTTGCACGCCTATGTCTCTCAGAATCTGCACTTCATCCAAGGCGAAGAGGTTCGACATTTGTTGGATGTGAACTATAAAGTTCAAAACTGATGCATGTGAAGGGGGTGGAACGGAATTTATGTGACTAACCTGGGCACCGATGCCGTATTCACGAGCATCGACAGCTAAACCGAGTTCGATGTTGGCTTGAACTGTGTCATGGCCCTGGTCTTGCAGGTTATAGGCTCTCAGCTTCTGCCCAAGTCCGATCCCTCGCCCTTCATGACCTCGAAGGTAAACCATGACTCCTCGACTAGCTTGCTCGATTAACTGCATTGCCAAATCCAACTGGTTGCCACAGTCACATCTTGCTGATCCGAAGATATCCCCGGTTAAACATTCTGAATGAACTCTTACAAGTACGTCTAGGCCATTCCCTATGTCTCCCTATTTGAGGTTTGGAAAAGAGAGAATCTCAGATTTGGCATACTTTCTGGACAGTGAAGTTTATAAAATAAACAACTCAAGTACCTTAACAAGCGCTATATGTTCTGTTCCATCTAGCTTTGAACGATAGCAGTATGCCTGAAATAGACCCCATTTCGTAGGTAGACGCGAAATCGCAGTTCTTTCGACGATCTTTTCCCTCTTTCTCCGGTACCTTTCACATAACAGCCCACAATTAGTCTGCAACTAAGTACACTGTACACAAGAAGCTCAAACTTTCCACAGATTCTGGTATGGTCTTTCTATGAGTAATACACTTGTATTATGGAACCCGAACTCATCATTTTCCGTACCCATGTTCGACACATTTGGATATGCTAAAGGGGTGTGATCCTCCAAATATACGGAAATCCGACCTCTGATCCGGGAACATAACTTTTTGTAAGTGATTAGATCATTATCAATATCATTGTATCAAGGTTGAATAAAATGACATTTGATGGTGCAAGATTAATACCTAATCAACTACATTCAGAAACCAAGTCATGTTTTGAAGGCTCACCTAATCAGATCAGTTATTGAAATAACTGGTATGCTGTGCTTCAAAGCCAACTCTCTTATAAATGGCAAAGGTGCTATAGAACCATCCTCTGGATCAACGACAGTTGAAAGAACCGAAACAGGACGTAAACCGGAGAGGATGACCAAATCGACCGAAGCCTCAGTATGACCAGCTCTCCTTAAAACCCCACCAATTCTATACTTGAGAGGAAATATATGACCTGGTCTTCTGAATTCATCAGGTTTGGCCTCCAGGGATGACAATGCAAGAACAGTCTTTGCCCTATCAGAAGCTGAAACTCCGGTCGATGTGCCGGTTTTCGCATCCTACCAAAGCATATAAAGTTAACAGAGCAAATGGCAATAGAGTAAGTCCTGCTGTATCGAAAAAAGCATATACCACTGTGATAGTGAAAGTCGGGGCAGAAGAATCTGTGTCTTCGGTTTCCGGAGACATCAAAGGAAGCTTAAGCCTTTCGAGATCCTCCTCTTTCATACCTACGGAAACAATGCCGGAGCCATGCTTTACCATGAAAGCCATCTGCTCCGGAGTCGCATGAGAAGCTGCCATGATGAGGGTTCCTTCAAAATTCTCATTTTCGTCGTCCACAACAATCACAAACTAAGAAAACAATGCAATGAGCAAAGTGATCGTCAACAACAAAACAAACAGTTCCATAGGAAACTTGCATCAAAACAAACCTTTCCTTGGCGTATTGTATTCAATGCCTGCTCAATGGAAGAGAATCCCTTCGAAGGGCAGTCGGGATCGCCGTCGGCATCGCTAACAAAGAAATCAATGGTTTCAGGCGTGATTTCAGCATCCAGAGTTCCAAATGGTGCTGAAGATGAGTCATCATCAAGTGCACCCAACACGGCTCCATTTTCAGACCTCTTCAAGGACTCATCGTCAAACAGGTCTCCAGCTCCAATCCCAGACACCCCCAGAGCACAGCAACTTGAATTCAGCCACATTTTTCTGTATAGCCTGATTTCCACTCCTTGTCGAACGGCCAAACATCTAAGAAATTTCAATACACAAACACAAACACGATATAAACACACGGGAATTAAACGAGTTGTCAAGTCTAATAACAGTTGGAATGTGTGTACCTTGTGTTCATGAAGATCTGAGGAAACAAAGCACAATCCATGGAATGAAAGTTTTTAGGGAAAGAAAGAAATTATTTATATTTGAGATAGCAGAATCTCTTCCACTATTGCTGCTTTTATTGGGTTAATATTTTGCTTATTAAGAGCTATGGAATGAATAAAGGGCCACCTCTGGTTGTGGATGGTGTAGCCAATCCACATATGACCTAGATGGCCTTGTGTGTTTCTAAGCAGAACTGTCGTTTTCTTACCCCAATCCGAGTGGGTAAAGAGACAAACCAGGGTAATAAATGCTCAAGCATATCTGAATGTAACAAACATTATTATTTTAAATGATACAATCGTAACGGTAGTTAGGTCCGATGTATGGTAATGTTTTTAATGTTAAGCATCTGAATGATTGAAAAATAATTTAAACACTTAAATAAAAAAATGATATAGTTTAAGTATTTATTTTTATATTAAACCTTAAAATTATAATTTTAACTATCATTTACTATATTGTGATGTGTTTATTCTATAATTATTTAAGGTAAACTACATGTTTAGTATTTTAAATATCATTTTGTTATATTTTAGTCACCTAATTTTTTTTATTTCAAAATCATTCTTAACGTTACATTTTGATTTCATTTTGGTCACTCATTGTTAAAAAATATCGATAATTCTAACGTGTTACCATAAGATAATATCATGTTATCATTCAAAATATTTTTTAAAATGTCACATCAATAATCTATTAAATTTTAGCAATGTGTGACCAAAATGAAATCAAAACTAACATTAGCTATGCTTTTGAAAAAAATAATATTTTTTTGGATAATTAAGATTTTTTTACCCAAAATAACAGAGAACTGCTCACAAAAACAATCCAATCAAATAATAATTTGTTGACCAAAACAGAACAAAAATGATAATTATGGTACTAAAGTAAAATTTATCCTAAATACAATTATGTTGCTCTCCACAGAAGCTCTAATATGCACAATATTTGTATTGAACATGAATTTTGATGCAGTTATGGCGTAATAATTTTGATGAAACCATTTGTGTTTGCTGGTCCTCAAGCATGTAAGCTTCCCGGTTCACACCCTCGGTAAGTGTTGGAAAATGATACATGTCATGGTAATTTTAATGGTTATCGTTGAAACCGACAATGTCGAGGTGGTTGAACTTTTATCTTCGACGATAATTATAGACATGGGGGTGGGCATGATTAAGTTCATTGACCAAGAGTAGGAAAGAAAAATCTTGTTAATTAGAAAGGAAGCAAACTCAGTGATGGATATACTTGTAGGAATGACTGGGAGACAACTTATTAGAGCACGAACAATGTTTACCTGCCAAAGTTGCTAGTCTAATTACAATTATTTAGCGAAAAAAAAAAGAGGTGGTTGTGCAAGTTTTTGGACTTAAATTTCATCCAATGCCAGCTAATTTGTAATTACTAATCCATCCTTATTTCTTACTCAGTTATGGTGCAATAAAATCTTTATTAAAAAAAAGAAGAAAAAAAGGTTATAAAGATTGTTTATTATCTTTCCGCATTTGATTCCTAAATAATCTCTTCTGTTAATTTTTTATTAAAATATTAAAATTTTTAATTGATTTTAGTTACACTAATAAAAACTTCGAATGAATTAAGGTAATTAAATTTTTAATGTCAGTATTATTTTTTAATCAAAATCTATATAATTATTAATAAAATCCAAGATACTTGAATTAATCAAATGCTGAGGGGCCGTGTTTGTTGAGAATAACAAAATAATTATTTGTTTTAAAAGTTTAAAATACATGAAATTTTAAATCTAAACAATTCAGATAAATACAAATACTTAAATTTCTCCAGGCTATAAATATCCTTCTATCTCCCCCTCAATATTCACCACTTCACTGATTCTTTCTCTACTTGATTTTTCATCTTGTTGCTTTTAAGGATTTTGGGTTTATTTCATTTGTGAATAGAGAAGATGGAATTAGATCTTTCTCCGAAGTTGGCTAAAAAAGTGTACGGTGATGATGGTGGAAGCTACTATGCTTGGTGCCCCAGTGAACTCCCCATGTTGCGTGAAGGCAACATTGGTGCTGCCAAGTTGGACCTTGAAAAGAATGGTTTCGCCCTTCCACGTTATTCTGATGCATCCATGGTTGCATATGTCCTTCAAGGTATTATCTTGACGGATTCCTCTCTTTTTTTAACCCTTTTTCTGGGTTTTGTTCATGCACTATAATGTTTGGAGTGTGCTGCAAATTTTAATTTATTTGTGTTTGTGAAAGAGATGGATTTGATTTTTATTCAAACAAATTCTGGTTTTGGGGTTCTGTTTACCAAAACATCTAACTTTCTTTAATCTTCATGTGTTTTGTTCGTTTCTGTGTTGCTTTTATTTATTAGTGAAAAAGACCCATCTTTTTTCCCTCTAATTATTCGCTTCTAGTGTAAAAAAGAGCAATATCCAATTCAACCCTTTGCTTTTAATGTGTTAAAGACGAATTATTGTAATCTTTTTTTCTCTATGGTTGATCTCTTGATGCAGGAACCGGTGTTGCCGGGATTATTATCCCTGAATCTGAGGAAAGAGTGATTGCAATCAAGAAGGGTGATGCAATTGCTCTCCCTTTTGGTGTTATCACCTGGTGGTATAATAAGGAGGACACTGAGTTGGTGGTTCTGTTTATGGGAGATACCTCAAAAGGCCACAAAGCCGGTCAATTTACTGATTTCTTTTTGACCGGTGCCAATGGCATCTTCACTGGTCTTACAATTGATTTTGTGAAAAGAGCATGGGATGTAGATGATGATACCGCTAAAGCTCTTATTGGCAACCAACAAGGCAAAGGCATTGTCAAGCTTGATGCCAGTGTTAAGATGCCTGAACCAAAGCCGGATCACCGAAAAGGAATGGCTTTAAACTGCGAGGAAGCTCCATTAGATACAGATATCAAGAATGCTGGCAATGTAGTTTTGTTGAACACTAAAAACCTACCTTTAGTTGGTCAGGTCGGGATGGGCGCTGATCTCGTTAGGTTAGAAGGTAATGCAATGTGTTCGCCTGGCTTTTCTTGTGATTCGGCCTTGCAGGTTACATATATTGTCAAGGGCAGTGGTCGTCTCCAAGTTGTGGGTGTTGATGGCAAAAGGGTCCTGGAAACCATTGTGAAGGAAGGTAACCTGTTGATTGTGCCAAGGTTCTTTGTTGTTTCAAAGATTGCTGATCCAGATGGTTTGTCATGGTTCTCAATCATCACAACTCCCAAGTAAGTCTCGTTCTCAAACCCGAAATCTGTTACTTTTTAGTTGTTTTAATTTTGAATTATGATTTGCATTGCAGACCTGTATTCACTCACTTGAAGTTGTTTTAATTGTGAGTTATGATTTGCATTGCAGCCCTGTATTCACTCACTTGGCTGGGAGCATTGGGGCATGGAAGGCTATCTCCCCTGAAGTTCTGCAGGCAGCTTTCAAGGTTTCGGCTGAGACAGAGAAGCTTTTCAGGTCCAAGAGAACCAATGATGCTATCTTCTTTCCTCCACCAAAATGAAGAAACGAATCTCTCAAGTTCTGTGCTGGTTTTAGTTTAGATTTCTTTCTGTCGAATAATTGTGTTTAGGGATATTAATAATACTTTCTTATCCAAAATGTTTTTTTCTTCGTTGTTTTTTTAGTGTTCATGCATAGAATTTTAGGTCCTGTATTGTTGAATGCTGCTCTTTTTTCCCCCCTTCAACGACAGCTCGAAAGATCCTTTAATGGTTTCTCCCAAATAGCAAACGCACTCGATATAAAATCCATTTTATTACTATTTATTTTTAAATATCACAAAATTTAAGTAGTAAAACTTGAAATTCAGAGGGAAATCTTAATTTCGGGATTCTCGAAGATTTATGAGGCAAGAGGTTGATTTTAATAATATTATTTTGAGTTATTAACTGTTAGTAAAACATTTGAAAAGAATAAAATGGAATAAATTCAGTCAATTTTTGTCAAAATTTTAAAAAGTCCGTACAAAGACTGTAATATGGGTTCTTGAGTATATGTTTCATCTCAATTGGGGTTGTAAAGATGTTAGGAATCATTCTTTTGATAAATGAACTTTTAACCTTTCAAAAGTTGATTTAGAATTTCTTTGATGTCCGATAATTGAAAATTAATTGTTAGAGGTTTATCTGACTATTTTAAAGTATTTGAATATATATGTAGTGAACAGAGTTTAGTTCGGTTAATGATTTGATTAGGTTTTGAATTGGGATTAAATTATAAATAATGATAGTTGAAGGACTAAAGAGTAAACATCGAAAGTTTGGTGACTAAAGTAAAAAGTTAAAGTTTGAGTGCCTGGAGTGTAAACAAGGAAATAAAAAAGGATGCTTCCTACGATTATCCCATTTATTTTGGTAGTGGACTTTGATGATCCAGCTATTTAGGTGTCATTACCTTAAAATTTAGTCCAAACTTTTTTTATATCATTAATTAAAGAAATTAAAAAACCCAAATCAGTCTCTTATTCGGACTGGTTCTTTTACTAATATTTGAGAGGAGCGTAATTGCAGACAGTTTAGAGGGTTATTTTATCAGTTAATGATATTATTGATTATATAAATGATATTGTTCGTATTAGACGATATAGTCAATATGTAAATAAACATGATAGGGTGAAGAGGAGTCAACAGGCATTGATTGGGGGATTCCTTAGTTTTATGGTATCCTTTCTTTGGTTGTATTTATTGTAGCAGTTGCTACTCTCTTAGATAATCGAGTCAAATGATTCACCCTCACACAAAAAATCAGAATGTCTCCTAATTTGTGTCGTTTTGTTCAAGTGTTAAAAAGGAAACATTTGTCCATCCTCTCCAAATGAACAACTACCATTGTTGAAAGCTTTCCTTAACTCTAAATATAGAAACATTGCATTAACCCTAACTTGGATGTTAAATATCAAATTAAGCATATATGTGTGAAGTCCAAGTAATTTTCTATCATCTAGCATCATCTATTTTTCCTTCATCAAGCGTAAATGAAATTTTAAATTTAATCTTATTTAAGAATTATGTTGAATATTATTTTAAATGTTGGATTTTGGTTTGAATATGCGTTGGTTTAAGCTCAATTTGGATGGTGGATTGACAACCAAGCACGGAAGTAGGAACATGTGGAGGGGCCTTGAGGGATAATGAAGGAAGATGGATCTGGGGTTTTACTAAGGGAATTGGAATTTGTTCAACACTTGATGCGGAATTGTGGGGATTTCCCAAGGTCTCTCTCTTGCATGGTCTTTGGGAATACAACAACTTATTGTAGAAACGAATAGTCGAGAGGCGCTGAATGCTATTGGTCCCAACGTTGGCTTGGGTGGTGGTTCATCAATGGTGTCCCATGTTACTAATTTAGTGGCTCGTTTGTAGGCGGTACAATTTTTTTTCACCCCTTGCGAGTATAATAGTGCAGCTGATACTATGGCGAAGATGGCTCGACAATACTCGGATGGTTTACATATCTTTTTCGCTCCCCCGGAAATTGTTGACCAAGTTATTTCGACCGAGGCGATCCCCCGGAAATTGTTGACCAAGTTATTTCGACCGAGGCGATCTCTACTGAGATGCAAGATTATTCAGGATAACACTCCTTACGTTTAATTCATTATTTCTATTTTAAAAAAATGTGTTTTCTTTTTGTTAGATAAAGAGGGGCCGATGAAAACCTTTATTAATTATTATAAAGGAAAAGTTGAAGTCTTCTATCAATATATTAATTCAAAATATTTAGAAAATTTAAATTAGATGAGTGTATTTGTAATCGATTTTTTCGATTATGTATATGTTTTCCGATTTTAATTATGTAGTTTGATATGTGTATTTGTAATCAATTATGTACATGGACTAAATTAGATTACTTCATGTGGCAATTGTGTTGATTATATTTCGATAAGGAGTTTTAATAATATGTTTAACTCTCATATATTAAGATAATTTGATTATATTAAGATATGCTCTGATTATGAAAATGATCGTATGTTATGTGAAATAGAAATTTAATGTATGAAATTGGATTAAATTGAGTTATGCACTCTTAGTGATATATGGTTTTTATGTAAGCCTTGAATTGGCTAATAAATGAACTTTGAATTATGATAATTGAGTCCTTTGTCATCTAAGAAATGATTGAATTTTAAAATATGAATGATTAAATTTATCAAAATTATTTTAAATTAAGATTAAATTAATAAATAATATAAATTTTAAGGATTAAAACTATTATTATGCCGTATCATGTTATTATTATTATTTTGGCTATATATTTTTTTTATCAAAGGAAAAAGATTAAATTCATAAATGTAATTATTAATTTAAAATTCAAATGATATAAATTTATCCCTTATTCCTTCGATAAAAAATACTTTTAGCTATTCTTTATGCACGCACAGCAAAAAAAATTATTATAAAATGAAATAAAAAAACAGTGACTACCGACAAAGAAACAAAAATGGTTTAAATAAAAAAAACTGAACGAAAAAATTGAAAAATATATAAATAATGAATAATGTGACAAAAAATTACTTAATAAATATTAATAAATATATATATATATAATGTGAAAAATATTACATGGCTGGATAAGAAAAATTAAAAGAAAAGTGATATAATATTTTTCTAAAGAATATTTGATTTGATTAACTAACAAATTCTTATTCTCTCCAACAAATATTTTATAATATTAGAGAATAAGAATCCAAAAAGTTAAAAAGATAGTTGATTATCTTCCTGCATTTGATCCTAAATAATCTATTAAAATATTGAATCAGTGCAGATATATAAATAATTAATTGTTAATGTATATTAATAAAAATATTGAATTAATTAAGAAAATTAAAATTTTAATGTATGTACTATTTTTAATCAAAATCTATATAATCATTTATAAGATTTAAGATAATTTATATTAATCAAAATCTTGGACAATTAAGGTAATTGATTTTTGAATTCATATTTGTTTTTAAAATTCTGAAGAGTCGTGTTTGTTAAGAATATCAAAAGATTGATTTGTTTAAGAAGTTTAAAATATATGAAATTTTAATTCTAAACAATTGAGATAAATACAAATACTTCAAATTTCTCCAGGCTATAAATATCCTTCTATCTCCCCTCAATACTCACAACATCAATGATTCTTTCTCTACTTCATTTTTCTTCTTGTTGCTTTAAAGTATTTTGGGTTAATTTCATTTATGAATAGAGAATATGGAATTAGATCTTTCCCCGAAGTTGGCTAAGAAAGTGTACGGTGATGATGGTGGAAGCTAATATGCTTGGTGCCCCAATGAACTCCCCATGTTGCGTGAAGGCAACTTTGGTGCAGCCAAGTTGGCCCTTGAAAAGAATGGTTTCACCCTTCCACGTTATTCTGATGCATTTATGGTTGCATATGTTCTTCAAGGTATTATCTTTATGGATTCCTCTTTTTTTTTTACCCTTTTTCTGGGTTTTGTTCATGCACTATAATGTTTGGAGTGTGCGGGGTTTTCTGTTTTCCAAAACATCTAGTTTTCTTTAATCTTCACGTGTTTTGTTCGTTTCTGTGTTGCTTTTATTTATTAGTGGAAAAGACCCATCTTTTTTTCCTCTAATTATTCTCTTCTAGTGTAACAAAGAGCAATGATTCTGAATCCAATCCAACCCTTTGCTTTTAATGTGTTAAAGACGAATTATTGTAATCTTTTGCTCTCTATGTTTGATCTTTTGATGCAGGAGCCGGTGTTGCTGAGATTATTATCTCTGAATCAGAGGAGAAAGTGATTGCAATAAAAAAAGGTGATGCAATTGCTCTTCCTTTTGGTGTTATCACCTGTAGGTCCTGTTTATGGGAGATACCTCTAAAGGCTACAAAGCTGGTCAATTTACTGATTTCTTTTTGACTGGCACCAACGGTATCTTCACTGGTTTCACATATTTCACATCTGACTTTGTGAAGAGAGCATGGGATATTGATGATGACACTGCTAAGGCTCTTATCGGCAACCAACAAGGCAAAGGCATTGTCAAGCTCGATGCTAGTTTTAAGATGCCTGAACTAAAGCCGGATTACGGGAAAGGAATGGTCTTGAACTGCAAGGAAGCTCCATTAGATACATATAACAAGAATGCTGACAATGTAGTATTGTTGAATGCTAAAAATCTCTTTGGTTGGTCAGGTCGGGATGGGTGCTGATCTCGTTAGGTTAGAAGGTAATGCAATGTGTTCTCCCGGCTTTTCTTGTGATTCGGCCTTGCAGGTTACATATATTGTGAAGGGCAGTGGTCGTCTCCAGGTTGTGGGTATTGAAGGCAAAACTGTCCTGGAAATCATTGTTAAGGAAGGTAACCCGTTGATTGTGCCAAGGTTCTTTTCTGTTTCAAAGATTGCTGATCCCGATGGTTTGTCATGGTTCTCAATCATCACAACTCCCAAGTAAGTCACCGGTTTTCAAACCCGGAGTTCAAATCTGTTACTTTTAAGTTGGTTTAATAACTGTTGCCAATGGTGAATCATAATCTGTTATGATTTGATTTGCAGCCCCGTATTTACTCAATTGGCTGGGAGCATTGGGGCATGGAAGGTTATATCCCCTGAAGTTTTGCAAGCAGCTTTCAAGGTTCCAGCTGAGACAGAGAAGCTGTTCAGGTCCAAGAGAACCAATGATGCCATCTTCTTCGCGCCGTCAAATTGAAGAAACGAATCTCTTGGGCTCTCTTCTAGTTTTAGTGTGTGTTTTCCTCCAAATAAATTGTTTTTAGGCATAGTGTACTGGATGTTTAGCGAATAAATTATTTTTTCTTTCGGCTTATGTTTGTGGATGTTTAGCAATGTCACAAATCTTTTTACTTTATAGTAAAAAAAATGAAAATAATCTTATTGAACTGTTTTTCAGTTTTTACTTCATGAAGTACAAACCTAACCGAGATTTTTTAGATGGTATAAGGATTTGATTTTTGACATTTTATGACGGCTCTTGCTCCATCTGTCCCTTAAAGTCTTTACCTTATTGTTTTTCATGTTTTTTCAATCTATCACGTTGGGTGTATTTCTTACTTCTTTATTATTTAATTAATACTTTTTTTGATGCATTTATACATTGTTTATCAAAATAATTTCATTTAATTAAAATTAAATTTTAATTATCTATATTTTTAAATTTTGATAAGAAATGATATAATCTGATTCATTAGCGTGTATAGGAAAAATGATAAAATTGTATAACATTGAACTTAAAATTTAACTTTAACATTAAACTTAAATGTATTTATTGAATTAATTAATTAATTGTAAATAATCGGCGTATGTTTAAAAATAAAAAAAGTTAAATCATTATCATTGCTAAACTTTCAAAGGATATACAAAATCCAAATATCTTTAATAATTTTTATGAAGTGAATATAAAATAATATATGTTTAAATATTTTTAATCATTTGACATTAATTACTCATTTTTTTAATATACGTGGTGTTCAAACCTAAAATTTTAAAAAATAAAAACAATCTTTTAATTACTAAAATTATTAAAAAATAAAAACAATCTTTTAATTACTAAAATTATTTGATTCCTGTAAATTTTTTGTTCTGAATAAAATAAAATGTCGTTTGCCCTATAAGTTGTGCGCCGACCCAATGGCCAAATTACCCAAAGGGAAATGTTATAATAATATCCCTAAAATACCGACCCTTTCCTTTCCAACTTTTTTTTATTTCTCTAGTAATTTCCTTATCCTGCCGTCCAACATTACTCAACAAAAATCTAAAAGCTAAAGACCAAACATTATTCAATTCATCAATGTGGTAAGTAAGTTGAAAATTTCCCCACTTTTACGTGAAAATGGTCTCGATTCTCCATCAAAAGTAATGGATTGGTCTAAGAAACATAAATTTAAAATTTAATTTATGTAATTATTTTTAAAAATATATATCAAACGAGCTAAAAGTGTTTTATTCAAATAAAAAGAAGAAGAAGAAAAAACAGCATGACATAAAGGTCGGCCCCACTCTTTGGAAAATATGGAGATGGACTTGCAACCAAAAGCATGATGTATCATTTGCTTTAATTTGTGGGGAAGACATGTACAATATTTGCCCAACACTTAGAAAATGATATACCACCAAGGTTTAACTAAGGCCATCTACATCTAAACAAAGTTTCCAGGTTTTAGGCTTACCATGCGTTTTAAGCTTGTTTTTTCTGTATCATAATTGTGTTTAAATTATTATATATTTGAATAAAATTTGACATCGTAAATGATTAACAGTTCAAGATTTTCCATGAATATAAGATTTAGGGCAGGTTAAGTCGTGGATTCAATATTTGTTACGAGTAAAATTTCTTCTCTCTCTATTTAGAATTGTAAAAAAATGAAAACTTAAGCACTCAACCTGCTTTGATTAATAATAGGTAAAAATGAATCGAATTTGAACGAATAAGTCTGATATCATTATATTCAATTAAAATGTTATGTTCGTTCTTCAATATATTAGGTTATATATTTAGATAAATAGTAAAATTAAACCACTAGTCCTTAAGCTCTTTAGCTTTACAATATGAACTCCAAAATTCATCTTGTTTAATTTAGTCTCTATCTTTAATATTTAAAATGTAAAAAGAAGAAAAGAAAAGAAAAAGGAGAATTGGTCAATGAGCCAATAAACTAGCTTTCAAACAAGTTTGTTTATAAGCATAAATGCACTAAACACATTTTTATTTGTGCTCGTTTGTTTATTAAATGAATATAAAAAATTTGTTTATACCGTTTATTTAGCTTAATAAATGAATATTATACGAACAGTTCATCGAACACTCTGTTAATTTAGACAACTAATCATATCTCTAAAAGCAAAGGTGGTATATATGGATGCTTTAGTCTCGTTGTTTTGATTCTTTTCATTGTTGATATACATGGTAATTGATTACAACGATATCTGTTACTAACGGAATAGTTTCTTGGCTCATCAAGAAGATGGCAGGAAAAGTGCAAAACAATTTTGTACACATGCAACACTTCCACTACTTGTCTCCCTCAATTCTTCAAGTAATCTCCACCGCAAAAATCATTGCAGTACCAGTTCACGCGAGCAACTCAACCTCATGCTTGGGGGACCAAAATTATGTTGTTTCTTCAGTGTCTCTCCATATACAAAAAGGGCTTTCTAATCTGATATTGAATCACAATGATAAAAGTTTTCGTCTGCAAAAATTTTCAGATTCCATCACCCCCTCATCATGAAACTATTAAACATTGTAATTAAGAACACAACTTAAGGGTTTTTAAATTCAGACAAAGGGTATATTTTGTGATGATTTCATTTTGCTTGGTCCAAGATGATCAGAAAGCAAAAGAGCACCAAACATCATCTTCATCAGATGTCTCTTTGAAAGAAAAAAAAACTAATGTTCTGACAACAGTCCCCAGGAAAGCTTACATTTGATTTGTTCACAACAAAAAACCTAGTGTTTTTTTATTTTTTATCAGCAATGAGTCTTTGGCCATTGGAGAAGATAGAGCCGATGCTGCTGTTGCAGATGGCCAGAGCTGTGCATTCTTCACCCTGGAAACACTTGCTAGCACACTCGAGGGAGTTACATCACCTATTACTGTCACTTTCTTTGTGGCCAAATCTATACTGAAGGATGTCACTCCTGCATATCACTAACCTTGTTAGAGTTTCATTCTTAAATAACTAATGAATGTAACCATTTTTCTATCTGTTGAAAACTCACCTTCCATTTTTGAGATATGTTTTCTTATTTTCCCTTCACATCCTTTGCAATGGATTGACACCCTCAAAACCACTACCTGCTGCTGCTAGCAAGAATCAAGAGATATGGTTTGGGAAGCTTAAGTTAACTGCTGTTTCTTATGGTTAAAGAAAAGAACAGAGAGTGAAGACTAACCTGGTGATGGGACCGGGCGGATGAAGATGATTTTAAAGCGGGAGAATCGTTGGAGCTTACATGGTTTGGCTTTGTAGGCTGAGCTGGAACCGATGGTGAGACACGATCAGAGTCCGATAACCAATCGATAAAAGGTGTATTGCTTAGAAGATATCTAGAGGAACCAGAAGGGCTCCTAAGATCATGGATATCAGCTGAACTTTTCCGACGTACATCACTTGGTTTAACAGAGCTCTTTCTACTCTTTTCACGGTGAGGCAGCCCTGGAAACATAGGCAATTCTGATGAACAAGGTACATGAGGCTTAGAATCTTGGCGGTCAATAGGCCGACGGCCAGGGCGGACCATGGAACGATGGTCCAGGCTTGAGCAGATGGCTGTTGAAGCGTGAGAAGCACAGAAGAAGTCCATTCTTTTCATTTTTGGAGAAGATACAAGTTTAAAGGCTAACTAAAACTAATAGAGTTGAGGCCAATTTATTCTTCTTTTAAAGCAGAAGTTAGGTCCCACTTGAAAGTATTGTTTAATCAGTACAAATTCTGGACCTTGAAAGATGGTGATTAACTTTAGACATTATTTTAATGTATTCAACTTTGTATGATATGATTAGTACCACTACTAGTATCATGGGAAGCTATAGATTTTGAAACTAGTTTACAGTGCAAGATGCAAGTGTGTTTTAGGTTGAGCAAGTGTTAACCCTAAAATTTTTGTTGCACTCATTGGGTTATTTGAAAGCAGGGAATTCAAGCATTCATAGGTATATTTCCTAGGCTATATATAGCTCTTGAAATCCCCCATTCATGAATAAAAAATCATTAGTTTTGAGGTCAAAACAAAGATTGATATCTAAAAATCATGTAAGCTTTATACATTTCTTGGATTTGTATGTTACATATAGAACTTCTGTAATGAACTGCTCAGGATTTGGAATAGACGGTGTAAAATGAAGTTTGATTGCAATGATTATGGGTGAGGTGTTTCCAGTTTCCCATGAGAAGGCTGGTGGGTCAAAGGGTCTCTTTTACAACACTATGAATTGAAATCCCGAGTTCCATCATCGATTGCAAATTGATTAGAGCATTTAGTGTCGACCACTTTATCCATCTCATTCTCTGCCGCCTTTGCAATATGCATATTTCTAGGAAGTATCAAGTAACTAACTAAAACATATCCTTTTAGCTACTCTACATATGTATAACTATAATATGGAAAAAAGATGTTCTTTTCTCACCCCAGAAATTACAACTTCTTGATTATAAAAGAACTTTCTCGTGGGGAGTAGACCAAATTATAAATAAATGAGCAATTCATCAATAACATAATGTGCATTATTACCATATCAATTTGGGATTCTAAAATGGCGTTTCTTGAATAATTTGTTATCCGATAAACAAGGAATCTTATTTAGCTGAAAGAGAGTTAGGATCTTAAAAAAAAACCTCCCTTCAAGTTCGTGTTTCGAAGTTCTCAGCTCCGAGTCGAACCAAGACCCAACAAAGTCAGCAACGGCAGATAACTGTAGCAGACAAGGCAACAACTTGGGGTCCTCACCTTTAAAAAACTTCCCAAAATCCCCTCATGTTACAGGAGAACGAAGGAAGCGAAAACGAACAAAGGTTGCCAACGCATGACCCACATTGCCATCGGACACAATCGTAGACGCCAAATGAACTATTATCTAAATTCGTCCGCACTCTCGTGCCTCCATATCATATCCAAAGAGTATATATTATTCTAACTTTAAACGTAACTTTAGTCCCATTGTTAAATTTTGTTTAACGAAAGTCATGTTTTTGTTATGTTTCACAGGGAGGCGAAGCTTCAATTATAGGAGGTGCAATTGACTTCGTTAAGGAGTTAGACCAACTTCTTCAATCCCTTGAAGCACATAAGAGAATGAGAAACATTGAAAGCAGCATTATTAGTGATAATCCAACGCCTAAACCCGCCATGGAACCAGATTATGGAGAGGAAGTAAACGCAGAAAGCAAATCAGGTGCAGCTAAAATAGAGGTTAATAAACAGTCATTTAGTTTTAGTATTTAAGAACTGATTAGTGTTCGGTGAGGAGAGGAAGATTACAGTCTAGAGAATTATGTTTTCTTAATAAAGTCAAGGTAGGTGCTAACATGGTCGAACAGTATCAATTCAGTTATTCAAAAGTGCCATATCAGATTTTTGTGACTAGATGACGACGATTGACAATTGAGTAATCGATTTATTAGAAAACATTAATGTTATTGATCGAATTAATTTATCCTAAAAGGAATAAGCTCCCAGTCGAGACGTCAAACCCAGTTCAACTCTAGATTTAATTGGGCTCTCCGTGTCTGACAAAGCTAAAGTTCTACCCTTTCTCTAAAACAAAATAAAATTGGGCTTTCATTAGCTCAGAGCTCAAACTCTTTCAAGTACTGGCCTAAAAAATGAAACTATCCTTTCACCCGCCTTACTGAATTTGGGTTTTGTTATTGTCGGATTTGCACTCTCCGGATCTTCTTCACCGCAAAGAGAAAGAGAGGCAGACACCCATGGGTAATGACAATGATACTAATAAAAACCCTATTTTTGTTTAGTTATATTAATTGTGTGATTATAGTAATGTTTTTTTTTGGATAATTCTGATTTTATTACTCAATGCAAAGTTAAAGATACAACTAATCAACCAATCAATAACAAATAATCAAAACAACCAACTTAAAATGATTGGTTATATTATACCCCAAACACTACAAAGCTGTAAGTTAGTATTATCAAGTCTATTAATATTAGTTCCCCTAAGATGGATTCCAACAACTTCTTTAACCTCCTTTAGCAGGCAGTCGATCGTTCTACTCCTTCCTTGAAAAATTCTCTGATTTCTTTCCTGCCACAAAGTGTAAATAACAGCAGTCCGTGAAATTTTCAGAATGGTGGTGAGCAAAGACTTCCCTTTCCATAATGAACAAGCCTTTATGACCATTTCATCCCATGATAAGAAAATGGTATTCACCCCATTAAGTTTCAGAATTGAATTCCAGAGTTCCACTGCCATTGTACATTATGAAAAGAGATGGTCTCTTGATTCATAAGAGGTACTGCAATTAACGCAAATAATGTCGGTGGTAATTCCCATTTTAAGAAGTATGTCTCTTGTAGGCAATTTGTTGAGCAGAGCCATCCAAGCAATTAAGCTGAACTTAGGAATATGCAATGGGAACCAAATGAGTTTGTGCCATATAACAGTCTGCCCTTTGCAACGAATCAAGTCCCAAATTTTATTAGCTTGCGGAGAACCGGTGGAAAGGAATGGAAGAGCTTCAACTCTTGATTTTAAGATCCTGTTGATGGTCCAACTTAAGTTAGCTGCTGCTTGATAATGCCAAAAATCATGCTCCTTAAAGACATATGCCTTAAGCCACGCTACCCACAGGGATCCGTCTCCTGCTAATATTTTCCGGCTGAGGATAATGAGACAAGCTTTGTTCCAAGTTTTAATGTTCTTCAATCCGAGACCACCTTCTGATTTAGAAATACAAATTTTATCCCAACTCACACGAGCACCAGCAACAGATTTATCTGCTCCTTTCCAGAAGTACCTGGAGCAAATATGATCCACTTTTTTAAGAATAAAAGCTGGTAGAACAAGTTGTCTGCACCAGTAGTTGCTGACATTGAATAAGACTGATCTGATGAGCTCTAATCGGCCTGCATAACTGAGATTTCTGTTAGACCAATGATGAAGTTTGAGCTTGATATTGTCGATTAAAGCTTGGCAATCCTTTTCAGTAAGTTTACGGGTGACAAGAGGAATACCAAGATAACGAACAGGGAGATTTCCAATTTTAAACCATGTAATAATTTTTAAATTCTCCATGATTCTTGGATGAATCCCCGCAGCAAAAATCTCACATTTGGCAGGATTCAACTTGAGCCCAGAGACATCATAGAATCGGTCAAGAGTAGTGAGAACACCAACAACAGAGTCAACATTACCTTTGCAAAAGATCAATAAATCGTCAGCAAACGAGAGATGAGTAAGACCAATTTTCCTACACTTTGGATGGAAGCCAAACATTCCTCTTTCGGCAGCTAAATTTAGCATTCTGGATAAAATATTCATTGCAAGAACAAAAAGGTAGGGGGATAGAGGGTCTCCCTGCCTTAGGCCTCTAGCTCCTTTAAAATAGCCGATTAATGTACCATTAAAAGAAATGGAGTACCTTGCTCCTGTGAAACAAGCTTCGATCCAAGCATTGAAAGCAATAGGGAGATTGAGAGCTTTAAGAATTTGAATGATGAATCCTCAGTGAATGGAATCAAAAGCTTTATGAAGGTCGATCTTCAGAGCGCATCTCGGGGAAATAGATTTCCTTGCATAGCCTTTAACCATCTATTGTGCAAGGAGGGTATTATCTATAATGCTCCTTCCTCTGATGAAAGTTGTTTGATTCAAAGTAATAATCTCTGGAAGAACATCAATCAATCTTCTAACGATGATTTTGGTAATGATTTTGTAGATAACAGAACAACAAGAGATAGACCGATAGTCTTTAACTGCACTCGGATTTGGAACTTTAGGAACAAGAGCAATAATAGTAGAGTTAAAAGCAGGGTGAATTTTAGCATTGAGAAAGAAGAATTTAACAGCAGCTACAACATCCTCACCCACTATATTCCAAGAGTTCTTGAAGAAGAAAGAGGTGAAACCGTCGGGTCCAGGAGCTTTATCATTACCTTGGCAGAAAACTGCTTTCTGGATTTCTTCTCGAGTAATATCCTTAACAAGGCTAGAAGAAGCTTCATATGTCAATGAATAGTTGAGAAGGTCTTTGAGAAGGATAGGATCGATATCTTTGACCAGTTTGTCAGTTGTTCCAATCAGATTGGAAAAGAATGAGATTACTTCTTTCGACATTGCTTCAAAGGACTCCAATCTATTGCCTTGATCATCCACAAGAACTCGTACAGTATCCCTTTTGTTTTTAAAAGAAATCATCGAATAGAAAAATCTGGAATTTTTATCTCCATCTTTAATCCACTGCATTTTGCCTTTTGCTTAAGGAACGCAACTTCAGAATCTTCCAAAGTATTTAGCTCTTTTTGTAATAACAGTTCCTTATCGATTGTGTCCTGTCCCTTTAAAGTGAGTAGTTGTTGATGTTCCAACTCTATTCTTTTAAGTTTGACTCGATCAGAGAGATTGCTATAATTCTCCTTATTAAAACTCGTAAGACATACTTTGAGTCTTTTAAGTTTAGTAAGGAGAATTTGCATAGGATCGCCATGAGCAGGTTGGGACCATGAATGACTTACTACATTTATGAAGCTTTGATGAGTAGCCCAAAAATTGAAGAATTTGAACGGCTTTGGCCTATTAGCAGGAACTTCTTTGACTAGCCATGTTAGAGACATGCAATGGTCCGGGACTCCTGGTGCCATGAACTCAACAAAAGAGTGCTGAAAAATAGAAGCCCAATTAGAGTTTATCATGACCCTATCAAGTTTCCTTGCAAGAAAGAATTCTTTTTGCTTATTGGACCAAGTGAATGAAGGGCCAAAGTAAGGGTGGTCATGGATTTCAAGCTCTTGAGCTAAGTCTTGGAAGTCTTTCATATCAGAAGTGAGATAATGGCCAAGGACTTCATGGTCAGTACTTTCATGGGAGTGCAAGATAATATTAAAATCCCCTCCTAAAATCCATGCTGACTTATTAACAATATGATCAACTTCTCTTAAGGTCTATCAAAGCTGTCTTCTAGCAATACCATCATTACTACCATAAATAGTTGAAATAAACATAGGAGTACCTTGGTGAGAACCTCTGAGTGTAATGCATTGATCAGAATTTTGAATGACAGAAAGATTAATGGCCTTCCTCCAAAGAACCCAAATTCTACCATTGCTAGCATGGCGATAATTGAAACAGAAATTCCAGTTCTTGAATTTAGAAGCACAAATAGTCTCTGCTTTGTCCACCTTCACTCTAGTCTCCAATAAACAAAGGACGTCAACATTGTTCCGAGTGGCTCGAAGAGTCACTTCTTTCTGCTTTAGAGGATTGTTAAGTCCTCTAATGTTCCAAAAACTATCATTGAGAAGGCGATCCCAAAGAACCCCCTTGACCTCCAGCAGTGAGCACTTATGCTCTCTCAAGCTGAACCTTCTTTTTTGATTTTAGTTCTTTCACTAAGCTTGCCACTCCCAAAGAAGCTGCCCTAGGTTTTCTTTGAATTTCTGAACAGTTAGGATTCTCTTCAGCAGAATTGAGTAATCTCTTCTTTTTAACTTTTTTGTGGTTGTTAGCAAGGATTAAGGTACACGAGCTAAGGAACAAATCAAAGACAGAGCTTTTGATCCAGCTCAAGGATTTGAAAGCTGAACTTTGTCTACTCCGTGTAGCCAAGTTCACTGGTGGTGCCCCCAACAAGCTCTCCAAAATGTAACTCAATTCCCTTTTCCTTCTTTTTCTTTGTGATTTTTCATTTATTTTTTTCTTTTTTGGTGTTGGTCTTTTAGTAAGGTGGTGAGGCTATCGATTGCACAAGTGTTGACAATGATATCCCATAAGCAGAAGGCTTCATTGAGGGAAGCCTATAAGAAGAAGAAGTTTTTGCCTCTTGATCTCCGTCCCAAGAATACCAGAGCTATTTGCCGCCGCCTTACCTAGCACCAGGTTAGCTATCCCCAATTTCATTTTCTTTTGTTGTAATTTGACAACTCTTTAATAATTAATTTATTGGCATTTCTAGATTCTTTTGTTTTAGTAATCTTGTATGAATGACTATGTATGATAGTTAAATAATCTTGATTGGCACCATGTTGATTATCAAGTTAAAAGCTTTGATATTCTGACATGTTCCCAAGGCTGTTAATTTAGCTTGCTTCTCTTGAGGCCTGCTCACAAGTGCTGCTAACTTTTCTAGCCTTAACTTACTCTCAAGTAGTTTCATTTTTCCCATTGCCGTGGTATGTCGAACTTTTACTATTTGGCTGCTATTTGTCCTAAGAAATGCTTTCTTTTCCCATGGAGATAAGTTGGAGTTACATGCGAATTTTCTCTAAAGCACACATTTGTTGAAGAGTTCGTTTCACAGTTTTGTTTATGCTTGGGGCATGTAGAGAAATAAGGCAGGGATGTGAAGCTTACCTTAGGATATATTCCTCGACTTCCATACAGATATTGAACTTTGTCCATGGTATCTGCTCGTATTCAAAGAAAATTGGTGATTTCTGCTCCTCGATGTAATGAAATCAATTTTGGATTGTTAACCTCTTTTGCGATCTGGATCAAGCTGATGAAATCATTAAAACCCAGTAAGGGTCCTTGAGTTGTCATTGAAATAGCATAAGCAGAAGGACCACATAGATAATGCTATGTTCAAATACCATCTACTTGTTGAAATGGAACTCTGTTTCGCCAATCTCGCCTCCAATTTGTGTTCAATACTTCGGTCGACTTGTTTGCGTTTCATAAGCGTTTGTATATTGAATTTTGTGTGCTACATGTTATCACGGTGGCAACATGAGTCCGTAGTCCGTCCAGGATGGTTAATTTCGGTTGCTTTTGACACTGAGCTCTTGCTTTTTGTGTTATGCAGCAATCTTTGACAACAGAGAGGGAGAAGAAGAGGGACATGTACTTTCCAATGAGGAAGTATGCCATTAAGGTGTAAGCTTGAAATATTCATTATGATAGATACCTTTTCCTATAGGATCCTAAATGCCTACTCAATGATATATTGTTTAAACTTTCTGTTGTTTAATTTGTTGCTGTAAGCTTTAACATTGTTAAACATCTTGTTGGGTGGGGAAAAAAAGAGGAGTTTGAAATTTGAATTTAATCGGTCAACATAAGTTCTTGTGGACAAAATATACCCTAAAATCAAAACAATGTTCCTGTTGTCTGTTGCCTATCACGATATTCCACTAGTCTTTGTTAATTGATTAATCTAACGGTTTATGAATAAATGGATTGTTGAAACTGTTATATATATAATTTCAACATGGATTTGTCTTTGTGCTGCATAAATGGCTGCAAAACCCGAGGTAGAAAACCATTGTGAAAACTATGAGTGCGTATTCGATTGAGTCTAGTCGAGTAAAAAAGTTTTGAATTAGTCGAGTTGAAGAAGTTTTATTTTATAATTCAAACCTCATTTGAATTTTTTTAATCGAGTTGTTCGAGTTTATATTTAAATTTAATTTTAAATATTTGTAATGTTATAGTGCTAATTGATTCTAATTTAAACAGCTTTCTATAACCATATTATATATATAACTCAAATAATTCGTATAAATCATTTTTTTAGTAATTAGTCAATTGATTTTTAAGTTCGAATCAAGTCTCTCAACTTTGTATGATATGTGTATCATATATGAAAAATATGAATATATATATATGTTCATATATATTTTTTGAATTAAAAGTGATAAAAACTAATTAACTACTAGCCTCAATGAGGTTTACCAGGTGGTTGTTCGCATCCTTAAGACAGTAAATCGAGGATAGAATGGTGGGACACCTTTTTCTCTTTCTCTCCATCTTTTATAGAATAACCACTAATTGAAAATAGAATAAAACAACTGCAAATGATCATCTTTATTATTTATGTGAAATTGATGTTTTAGGTAATTTAGTAATAATGACAAAACCAATTTTATAATTGGACAATAGAAAGACAAGAGAATTATAGATTATATATTATTGGATGCAATTCTCTTTAATTTTGATGAATGTATCGGCTCACGTTCATGCATAATATTTATTCAAATAAAATTTTCTAGATGAATTTATGTATGATAAATTTATCTAAAATTCATTTATGACGATTATTAGATTATTTTATTGCGTGATCTTAAGAAAATCTTGGTGAACAAGCGTAAGAGATAACATTCCTTCAAATAAAAGAGAATCAACTCTGTCGTGAAATCTACTATACTTTAACAATTCATTTAGAATCTCTATAAATCATACATATTAGATAATATAACTTTGTAGCTCTACTTGATAGTGACAGATAAATTTACACTGGACTAATATCTTATGCTTTTTTCCAATTTTAGATTTTATGTGTCATCAATTTTGCATGCTCTTCTTGATTTTTATTTTAGTGTTCTTTTTTATTCTTACAAAAAGAAAAAAAAAGAGTTTTTCGCCGTAGTTTTATTGTTTTTCAAATATATAACGTAATTAGTTGAAAGCGTCCTTTAAAAATCCATTGTGGAGAAATCAAATACTATTAAATTCGTCAACAATAAAGGGTTTAAGGAGGAGCAGGTCATCGTATGAAAAACAGGAAGAGGCCGACTGTTGAGACTATTGGCTGATTTAAACGCTTCTCTTATTATAATCAATAATTTGACCCAAAGAATTGGTCATTGTCAGCCCCTCTCGTAATCTCAACTAACTCCACATTTTGACTTTTCCAATTCCATCCCCCCGCGTGGACTCTTTACCCCTTTCTCTATATATACCCCCCCCAAACTACCATTTCCTCTACTCATCTTTCTTCTTCTCATTACTACTCATTACATATCCAAAACTCCATTAATTCTCAGCTGTTCTGTAAATGCCAAGAAAAGGAACAAGCACTGTCTTCTTCAAATCCCCATCTCCTACGAGGATGACTCATCCTTCATCCCCACTCCACCATACCTTCTCCGAGTCATTAATGGAGGAAAACATTGAACTTGCCGACTTTTCCATCACCAAATGGGAAACCGATGTTGCTTCTCTTTTCTCCGACAAGGAGGAAGCCACACAATATCTGGTTTCCATTAAGGGATTGCAAAAAGCCATGCAATATTTGGCTTTTCACCATCCCAGTTCGGATAAACTCGGTCGAGCTCAAATACTGATGCAAACTGCCATGAAAAGGCTCGAGAAAGAGTTCTACCAGATTTTGAAGTCCAACCGGGCTTATCTTGACCCCGAATCTGTTTCGGCTCACTCATCTTCGATACCATCTGTTTCGAGGTCTAGCATTTCAGATTTCGAAGAAGAGGATTTTGAAAATGAGTTGAGGGACGAGCACGATTCAATACCTGAAGTGGAGCGAATGTCGTTAGCTGCTTTGGCGGATTTGAGGGACATTGCGGAAGCCATGATATCAGCTGGGTACGTCAAGGAATGTACCAAAATTTATAAAACTATTCGGAAATCGATCGTCGACGAAGCTCTTTACCATATCGGAGTTGAACGGGGAATGAGTTTGCAGCAGATTCAGAAGACGGAATGGGAGGTTCTGGAGGTTAAAATCAAGACTTGGTTAAGCGCTGTTAAAATGGCGGTTAAAACGCTGTTTTATGGAGAGAGAATCCTCTGCGATCAAGTGTTCTCCATTTCGGCTCCCATCATGGAATCTTGTTTCACCGAGATTTCGAAAGAAGGAGCCTTGACTCTGTTTGGTTTTCCGGAAAATGTAGCCAAGTGCAAGAAAACACCCGAGAAAATGTTCCGTGTCTTGGATTTATATGAAGCAGTTTCAAATCTTTGGCCGGAGATTGAATCAATCTTCAGCTTCGAATCTACCTCAGCCGTACGATCAACGGCCGTTAACTCCTTGATCAATCTCGGTGACGCCGTTAGAACGATGTTCACGGACTTCAAAACGGCGATTCAAAAGGATTCAACCAAAACGACGGTTCCAGGCGGTGGGATCCACCCCCTCACACGCTATGTAATGAATTACGTATCTTTCCTCGCTGATTACAACGGGATCCTCTCCGATATTTTCGCAGATCGACCGTTCACTATTCCATCTGCTTTACCAGAATCTTACTTCGGCAGTCCGGACCAAGAGGAAAGCATTTCATCGCCGGTTTCCGTCCGGTTAGCCTGGCTTGTCTTCGTCATGCTATGTAAACTCGATGGGAATGCCGCGATGTATAAAGACGCGGCGCTTTCTTATTTGTTCTTAGCAAATAATTTACAATACGTCGTCGGAAAAGTCCGTCAATCGAATCTGAATTTCCTCCTCGGCGACGATTGGGTGATAAAGCACGAGCAGAAAGTGAAACAGTACGCTGCGAACTACGAGAGGATCGGATGGAACAAAGTGCTTGCGTCACTGCCGGAGAATCCAACGGCAGAGATTTCAACGGATCAGGTGAAGGATCATTTCAGAAAATTTAATTCCGCTTTCGAAGAAGCTTACATGAAACAATGTTCTTGGGTCGTACCCGACCCGAGACTCCGAGATTATATCAAGATCTCGTTGGCGAGACGGATCGCGCCGATCTACAAGGAGTTTTACGAGATATACGGCGGAGTTCAGGCGAGGAAGGAATTCTGGGTTGAATCACTTGTCAGATATACCCCTGATGATTTAGGAAATTACTGGTCGGATTTGTTCTATGGAAGCAGAAGTTCAGGGAGTGTTTCGTCAAGTTCAAGCGGAGGTGGCCGGAGTCGTTGAACCGATCTTTTTTTGGAGGAGTGAGAAAAATCGCTGGCCACGTACGAATATCGTCTCGTGGTATTTTGTGGATAATAAGGACAAAGAAGCTTGTATTGACACGTGTATAGAATACTGATTAATTAATTTATTGTTTTTAAAATTGAAATACATAATTCTTTGATTTATTAATTATTTTTTCATACTATTCCAGTTATTTGTTTATGTCGTTTGGCTTTTACATATATATACACACATGCAAGTTTTTTTTTATTAAGGTGGTATGTATTATATTTTTAAAATTAATGTCATGATTTAAATTCAGATAAACTGGAATAATGAGAATATATTTGATTATTCGATCAATCAATAGATCTTACACAACATAAATTATAAGTTATCATAAATCTATTTTAAATCGATTGACAATTTCAAATATTAATTTGTGTATGAAACTAAAAGATTAGATATATAGGGAATTGCTTTGATTACATGCACAAGAGTAATTGACTTTAGGTAATTAAATATTTCCTAAGCAGCCCACAAAATAAGGTTGCTTCACGATCCCATAAACAAGAATCGCAACAATGGTTGAAGTTATTGCTTGTGTCGCAATCGTCTTTCGGGTGAGTCCAGCATTGGGCTTCGATTTAAGTACGTGGGTTAGAGTCGTCACCGATAATTTATTTTAAAAATAAAAATGGGTTGATCGGATATCTCGATTTCTTACCTGATCTGCATCTTACCAAAGATATATCGGATTCGGGAGTTGGTTACAGCCAAGGAAGGATTAGCACCCTTGAACTGCCCTTTCGGTACACCCAATTTGAACTGAATTACAGATGACTCCCCTGCCGTGAGGTTGAGTTGAACTGGAAAATCCTGAACACGATATCATTCGTCGTGAAGTTGAAATCGAACTCAAAGCATTAGAAAGTAGCTCCTGGATCGTCTTCTAGCCCAATATACTTAATAGTGAAGTTGAAATTTGACCTGAAGACTTTGACATAATATATACCCACCATAGCATATTATTATATAGCATAGTATGTGTATGTTATATGATATATGATATAAACGTAACACATATGATACAAATAAATACTATATAATATAATAGGCTAATATGTTAACAAGGTCGGACTAAAATATATGTCTACAGCTTGTTTCCCAAGCAAGACCTTATGAAGAACTCCAACGTAGAATTTTTAGGCTCGATCACTGCATCATACACCCACATGCCGCTAAAAACCTCTAGATTTTGGAACGGCAACTAATAATGATATTTGAACTTTCTTTTACAAGAATTCACGAGATTGAGAGATGACACGACTTGAAGCCATTGTGTCCTTGACTCGCCTCTAAAACAAATCAAGATAATGTTGTAGGCGTATAGGGCGAACAACCCACCATTTGAATATACCAACTGCCGAATTGTGATCGAGAGATAGAAAAGCTCATACATGCAAATTTGGGCTTCGAATGACACTAGTTATGACGATTGGCATGACGGTCGATGATGAGTAGTGAACAACCAATGTGACGAGCAACGGTCTGCATTCAAGAGAATTAAGACAATGGTCTAAGTGAAAGGAGAAATGAAAAAAAAGAAAAATAAAAAAATGGATACGTGTATGCTACCCAAAACAATGTCATTTTAGGAGCAGCTGAGGAAGACTAAAACGACAACGTTTTAGCACCTAAACCAGATTCGTCTAGTAAGAAATTCTTTCTTTCATGTAAGGATAAAACAAATAGAAATACACTATCAGTATATTTGTGAGAAGTTCTTTGAAGGTGAGATCAAGATGGTGTCAATAAAGATAAATGAGCAAGTTGTAAACATATTCATGAAGAATCTGAAAAAAATAAAGTTTGAGAAATTTAGAAAAACACTCAAAATAATTTGTAAAACATATGTGGAGAAAAGCTTCGACTTCTCTTTCTAGATAATTCCTAATATTTATCTAGATATTTATTATTAAAATAATACTAATAATATATGTCTAAAAATATTCATAAAAATCTATATTTATAATATTTAATATTATATCTAGAAATGTATATAATAAGAATATAAATATTTATAATGATGATGGCTAAGATAGTAACACATGTCAACAACCTAATGGTTACTAAAATTTATAAATAACAGTAAAATTTTCATTATTGAAAGAGAACTTAAAGGTGGGGAAAAGAAGAAGAAAAAGTGAGGTAAGCATATATTATTATAATTATATTAGTATTAATAAGTGTTTTCTTCTCTCGTAATTATAAGTTTATCCGTTAAGTCTCTGTTTACTTTAAGTTCTTAGAATATTTGTGTTAGTTTCAATATATGTTCGGCTCTACTGCCTAAATAATATATGATCAATTTTATTGCTCATATGATATATAATCCGCTTTGTCGTCTTAATGATATGTGGTCGATTTTGCTGCTTAATTTTTTTTCTTTAAATAATCAATGCTTCATTCATCCAAAAAAAATAGCAAACAAAATTGCTTACAAACCATCCAAATAAAGCCACAACTTACATCCAAGTCCTACCCCCAACACCCCAACAATCTATCTCTATCAATACGTTTAAACAAATCAAAAACAATTTGAGCACTTCTAAGCTTCTTCTCATGCAACCTACCATTTCTTTCTTGCCACACAAAATAAACAAGAGATGTTCAAGTAATTCTAATAACATGTTGCAAAGCCTTATCACTCCCATTGCTTTGAACCCACTGCATCATCTCAAGTCACGACGTGACCTGCATATTCCACTCACCTACCTGTAGCACCAAGCCCCAAACCTTCTTCACAAAATCATAAAACAAAATCAAATTATCACTACCTCCAAGATATCATGTTCACTTTAGCTGGTAGTCGGTTACCAACCAATAGATGAATTCATGTCGAGATAGTTCCACTACCTCGAATCACATTATGACATCCCACTTTATCTTGTTTTCTCCTTAGCAACTCCCAAGCATTCTTCGCCTTATAAGGCCCGATAGGATCCCAATACTAAACAACGTATCTCTAAGCTTAAGTAATTTTTTCCATGCCCAACCTTGCCCCTGACGAGGCTGAATTCGCCAAACACATACCTCCTTCAACACGTAAGCTTGCACCCAAGCCACCTATAAAGAGTTTACCCGAATCAAAAGTTGTCAGTGATTACGCATCATACAAGCCATATTCTAGGATAACAACTCTTTGATCACTAAACCCCTTCCTCCTTTGGATAACAAACAAGCTCTCAACTAACCCGAGCACCCCTCGAGTCACCTTCCTTACCTTTCTAGAGGAATGACCCGCATAATTGTCCAATTCTTTATAACACTCTCACTGGAAAGAAGAAAACCCGACTCCAAAAATTTTACAATTCTAAAATGACAGATTTGATAAGTTACAAACGACCAGCATAAGATAGACCACGAGTTACCCAACCCTAGTCCTACAAATAATCTTCTCCACCAAAGCATTACAATACGAACTATAAATAATTCTAGAGGTCAAAAGGACCCTGGATACTGCACCGGCAATGAACCAAGCTTCAACTTTGTTATGCCTCTTAGATATTATTGTGCACTAAAAAGTTATAAAATAAAAGATTAACCAGAGCTTAATGCAGAGGGCATATGGCTTACACGTGGCCTTTATCGGCCAATTTTTCAAAAAAAATGAGAAAATAATGTTAGAGTCTTGTTTCCTTTGACTAAAACAATCGACCATTCTTTTTTTATATGGTGCTTCGACGTTCTTGACTGCTATGCATCTTTTCTTAAATACTATTCCACTTTATACAGTGAAACAAGTTAAGTTTCTATGACTATAGATTCTTAAGTATTTAATCGTAGTTTGATTTATCACGAAATGTCTTATAACTTATATTGATGTTAGGGGTGGAGCTCTGAGGAGCCCAAAAGGGCCGATCCCTATTAAAAATTTAGTATATTCGATATAATTTTGGTCTAATAGTATTTTGGTTGTTGTAAAAATAAATATTTAAATTAGAATACATAGGAATTTTTTTTTCATTAGATACAATGTTGGTTCATGAAATGCCTTATAGTTTTCCCTTTTGTTTTGCATGTCCGTGCTATACTATAAGTTTGATTCTTATTTTTCATTAGATTTTTTTCCTTTCAAGTTAAAATTAATTCCTTGTTTCTTTTTCATGCAAGGTTTTACCTTGTATTTAATCTCATTATAGTCTTATTCAATTAAAATAATTCACATTATTTCTTTTTCCATGTTACATACTTAAAATGTTCAAATAATTGTCTCTTTTATTTTTGTCTCATAATCAATTTAAGATTAAAATAAATTAAAATTCAACTATAAAAATAAAGATTTGAGCTTTCCTACCACAAACCAGAGCTTCAGTTACAAAAATAAGATCTATCCAAACAAGACTCGATTCTTATACCATCAGAGTCTCAACAAATATGTCAAAGATACAATGTTTCTTATACCTGCGAATACATTTACAACTTTTCTAACATGCAATTTGTTTTGATGATTATGAACTCGATGCTTGGTTGTTTTGAAGTCGGCCTTCACTTTTTATTGGGTTTAATTGATCTATATACATTCATTTGAAAGATGTGAATATGTTGACGGAAGGGATTGAATATACATCCATATGCATATGGGTGTATTCTACGGGCATATATATAGGCATTAAAAATTTATAATTTGTGATAGCCGAGAGTAGAAGTATGAATTTCTTTGGCAGTTGGGGATTGTGTTATGATGCCTCCTTATGTGGAACAAATCAGAGTAGATAACAGGAGCAATGTAAAGGTTTGATTATGGAGTCACTTGGAGGAAGGAGGTTGATCCATTGACCAAAGAAGTTTTTTTTCTTACCCCTATTATATGCAGATGGTGCATGCCTTAGAAGTTGGCTTCTGAATCAAAGATGAAAAGTTTCGAGGCTATTGAAAAACAAATTATTTTTTAAAATTTAAATATATTGCTTATAAGATATAAAAATGAAAGAAGATTCTTTAAAAGTTTTAATCTAAGTGTGCATATGACATGAAAAGAAAAAGATAACGAGCCTTAAATAAGTTTATTCGGCTGTAAGCATATCGATATAAACAATTGTAACTACATCATTCAAAAACAAGTTAATTTTCATTTTGTATTATGTGTACATTGTAAAACTATACTCAATTTTATTTAACGACCATCATCTAGATCAAGATTAAATATTTTGTATTTATGTACTTTGGACATACTGCATTTGAAATATTTTGTATTTATATACTCCATAGTTTAAGACTTAATAACTCCAACCACATTATTATAGAATGACTAGTCTTTACTAGAATGGCATTAATGGTACTATTGCCATGCAACAAATTTGTAAAGGCATCGTCTTAAAACCAGTATCGCCTGCAACTACTTTATTGAAGTTCTCTTTCATTACTTTTATTTTGACTTTTATTCATTACATATACCTTTAACATAACACAGGTCAAACAGCTGGTCATTGCAATCGAATCGACAGAGACAAATACACTAAATGCTGAAAACTGGGTATCCTAATGAATGAGTTACAAAATACATACTTCAGCTTTATGAGGGGAAGAAGAAAAGCAACCTTGTTAATGTTGAGGTAAAGCTGGTCTCTTTTCCACATACTCGTAATGGACAACAAAATTATCCTGCAAATAAAATTTATAGTCGGCATTCAGCAACTAGACTCGTGAATAACAGTAAAAAACAAAAGAGCACCATAGTAATGAATTATGAATATTGTAGTTCTGACCTTGCGGATTGTTTCAAATGATTTCGGATCGAAACAGTGATAAGAACCTCTCTCATATGTGGTTGTCTTCACTAGTGGCTCAACATTGGGAACCCTCATGAACCACATTCGGTGCTCCTTGTGGTAAAACCAGCCTCTATTATAACTGCCAATAAGAGGTGTTCAAATGAGGGCTGGAAAGAATAAAAAGCATAAGGATTCCCACACAATTCGTTCAGTTGAGAGCTTACAGTTCATTTGCAGCGTATAACTGAGCTTCGTCTTTTGGCATGCTGTACTAGAGACAGAGAAGTTCAGATAACTAAAATAAAATCTTAAAATAAACAATAGAGAAGCAACGAATGTTAAAATAAACACCTGTAAAATATATAGAACAATGTGTCCACTGTGAACTTTGAAAAATAACCTTGCTGCATGCATCGAAGGAAATCAGAGTTCGGAAATACAGGCAATTCACTAATCGAGACAATTGCACTAAGGAGTAACCAAAATACAAAAGTGAAAACAGCTCACATGTAAAGCAGGTGGTTGTTTAGCATAATAACATTGTGGCACGGTGAACTCTGGGTCACCCTTAGCTGGTTCATCAGACCATGGAGAACCAAAAGTCTTGTGAAGATTTTCCGATGAATTCAAATTTAGCCCAAGTGTTGTCAGATCAATTCCAAGAGCAAGGGAAGTTAGATCAGGATCAGTCATCTTTATTACACTTAGCAAACCAAGTAACCCAAATGGGTCGGGATTAGACTGCATAGCCTGCATTGATTTAAGGCCGGGTTCCCTAAATGACTGATTCAAAGCTGATATCTGTGGAAGACGAAACTGCGACTGGTTTTGGTGTTGCTGATATTGATGGATGAGCTGGTCATAACCCATACCAGAAACCGTATTATTAGATGAATTTAGAATTCCTAGCCCAATCCCAGGTGGTCCACTGTTCTGAAAGAAAGATGAAAGAAAATGTTAGAAGTCATTCTACCATCTATCGAATAAGAAGAAAACATTGATGCACAAATCTAATGACTGAATGAATGAATGAAATACGTCCATCCTAAGGAAGTCAAATCAATTTCTTCAACTTTCAATCTATACTTCTTTTCGCATGCTGTTATAAGAAAAAAGGAAGAGGCAAATTTCACATTCTTCCAACTTGACTGACAGTGAATCTCAATTCAATACAGCTGCTAAAACACACTCAAATATGGATTTTAAAATTAGTAATTAATCTCTTCTCCCAAGTTCCATTGGAGGAAAAGATCTATATATATATATCCTTCTACCTCATGATAACTACTTGATTACATTTGCAAGCAACCATTTACAGCACCAGATTACCATACCTGTGAGTGGTAGCTCGAATGTGAAGATGGGAAAATATCCAAGCCATGTAAATGGAGAAGATCTTGGTTGTTTACAGGTGAAAAGGAGGCACCGCTACCACTGGCTGAAGGAGCATGTTGCTGTTGCTGTTGCTGCTGTGGGAGATGGGATGAATAGGATCCACCCAAGTTAAATCCTGCAGATCTCCCCATCTATGAAAATTGCACAGAAGTATTAGATGAATTCTCAAAATACATACATCATGAAGATGACAAAACATACTTTTCTAGAAGATGAAAAGGAAATAAATAACTCACAGTAAATAAAGCATGCAATTACTTTAAAAGTCATATATGAATAAGAAAATAAACCATAAATTCTCAATTATGCAAATGTAACTCACAGAAAAGTGTTGAGATTGCATCATCGACATGGTATTGTCATGAAGTTGTTCTTTCTGGTGCATATCCATCGCATAATCAGCATTACCACCTATATAATATCTAATAACATGGTCAAGATCATGATTAATGGTTTAAAAACAATCAGCATCATAAGAATGAAGATATTAAATGCACAGAACAGTTTATAGTTTTCAGAAACAAAATATACTAGAAAAATCAAGTTA